AAGTATGTAAAAAATAAATACATCAAACAATTGTTTGTATATGATATGAGCAATAACATATACAGAGAATTTTTCTTTTGAACGCGTACCGTGAAGAGGCACACACACACATAGGAGAGGCGAACCACCCGCAAGAGGACAGGTTTGCACGTCAAAGTTTACCAAAGACTCTTCAGTGCACCGGTACACCTTCGCCGACACACACCGCTCTTGTGTGTGCCACTGAACGTACAAAGTGAGATCCGCTGGCACTATAAGGGCGTAGTTCGTGACTCACTCGATTAAAATGCAAATCGCTGTTCGGCCGTATAATTACGCGAACATGAAAATGCGCGATTATTTTAATGATCGCGAATAAATAATAAAACAAAAAAAAAAAAGAAAAAACAAATAAATGATTGCGTTTGTGAGGAAATGCGTGACTGTAAGCGGCTAGGGCGCGCTTGTGAATTCCGAAACATCTCTCATACGAGAGTCGAGGGCATTAGAGAGGGTGGGTGATCGTAATTTCACACATGGCGTAACGCACCACTCCGCCACCCTTCGCCTCTCGGCTTACACCTCGCAACCTTTCGCGATATACCTTCCAACCCTCTCTTTCCCGTCGCTCTCCGCAGCGTTTTGCTCTTGTCTGTTGAACGTGCAAGTGCAACCACACGCGCGCGCACACACACACACGCGCGCGCGCGACTGAATGTACCCCCAACTCCCGTTTCCTCTATCTCTCTTTCCTCTCTCTGTCTTTCGCTTTCCTTCTCTTTCGTTTACTCACCTTTGTTATTACGAGCCAACCCTCCGTCATCCTTCACGTTTCGTGACAGGCAGAACCACTAGTATATTGCTAACCGATGGGTCGGGGTTGATTAGAATTCGCAAGACGAAGGGTGGCTTAATATAAAATCGATTAATTATTTCGAACGGATCTCTCGTTGCTTTCTTGAGTAACATTCGTTGAGGCAAACAGCTTCGCCGAATGTGAAAATTTTGAACGTCGTTGGGGGAATTGTTGCAACAATAAACTGCAAAATTTCTCGTTAATAAAATTCAATTTATGCGCGTCTTTCTCTCGCGCGACAGCCATTTGACGGTCGTTCAGCCACGACGGCTGAGATAAAACGGTCCAAGTTTTCGATACAGAAACGCGTTTTATACAGAAACTAGTTTCTTTTTTGCATAAGAATCGCAACTCGAATTTAAAAGATTCACAAGAGCCGCCCGTTTCGCGAAATTTCCTCGCACCGTTGCTCCCGGCGATATTTAATATCTCGAAACTAGCGCCCCCTCCCCCCGTTGCACGTGTGGAAGAGGAGCGGAGAGAGAAAACGCTGGGAAAACTACAGCGGCGCGTGAGGATCGCCTTATCAAAAATTAAAATTTCATTCGGCCAAATCGAGCGGGCGCTATCGAGATTCTCTCCGGGGATGCGATAGTCTCTCTCGAAGAGGGATACTGAAAACGGGATAGATACCCGAGAAACCGGGCTCTCGGCCGGTGTAAGAGGCAGTAAGCCTTAATCGTGAGAAACTAACTTCGCCCAAGTTTCGACGAGGCGCCCTACCCCCTTTCCGCCCTCCCGCGCGCATTGTTCTCGTTTCTCTCTTGAATTTACGGCGCGCTCTTTTTGCTCCCTCTTCGTAACCTTCTATAAATCTGAATTTTTCGCATTTGTATTTTATCGCGGTTGCGCCCGTCGATAGTCGATAATCGGCATCGATATCGCGCGGAATTCTCTTTTCGATTCTAAAAATTCGAGAGATCGAAGAGAGAGAGAGACGATTTCGCGCGGAGTCGGTTTCTGAAATCCGAAACTTCTTCACGTTCCACACCGGACTGGTATTTTCAAGGGGAAGGAGGCGCGGATAATCCGGATAACGCGCCGAACGGAATCGGTTGTATTGGGATCCAATCCGGCATGCTGGTGGCTGACAATTGGCGACGTGGCGATGGTTTCCGATGAGCCATGCTCGGGAGGTTTCTCCGACCGAACGGGACGCCAAGTACATCGATCGGCAATTCCATTCGATAATTTTGCAAACGACTCTTCAAACTTTCATTTCTCCTCTCCTCTCGCTCTCTTCTCTTGACGTATCTCGAAGCGATGTGGGAATTTTTTTTTAACCACAAAATTATTCATTTGCTCTCTTGTCTTCAACTTTAATCAAGAATCGCACAGTAAATATTTATAAGAAACTCGCGATGATAAAGATTCGTTATTTAAACTATAGATTGTGTATAATAATATAAAAGCGGTTTTGATCGTGTAGACCGAAGACTGGTGAAACAAACGTGAACGACGAAACTTTTGTATTTTTTACACGAGCGTTTTTATCGCGTCTCGACGCGCATCGATACGCTCGAAATACTGATAAAAAGACGATAATGGCTCCAAATGGATTCATATCGCTCGGGCTCGACGAAAGCGTTTTTGGTGAGCGATGGAAAAACAATCCGGGACGGTGTAAATGTACAATGGCCGTGCTTTCTTGCCGCTTTTTATCTACTTGGAAGTCGGCACAGCTCGCTCTCTCTTCAATTTCCTGTAAACACATCTTTGAATATTTTGCGCACTTTACTTTGTTGACGACACTTCGGAAAAGTTTCATGGAAAATAACGTCATCGCGCAAAGTTTTCCCGCCTTCGGAAAAGAAACCGATAAAACCGATCGTTTATTTCAGTTGAACAGAAATACAAGTTTGACGTTGAAAAAACGATTAATTGTGCGAGACTGTGTTTACGCGCTCTCAATTTGCGCTTATTTATTTATAAACTTATTTGTGTGTGTGTGTGTTTTTTTTTAGAAACACTCAACGAATCTGAAAATTTAAATCGCCGTTATCTGGCGTTTCTCGCGAGAAGGAGCTTCCTCTCGCGCGTTTTCTCGGGAATTCGCCGGAGAACGCTCGAGCGAGAATTCCTGGTGGCTGATGGGAAGGATAACTCGTCCCCGAAGTGCAGTAACCTTGGCGCGAAGGAGTCTCGGCTCCCTTCCTCGCGCTTTGCCTCTTTCTCGCGCGCGAAAACTTATGACCCGTGCAAAATGAATGCATCCTCTCTCATCGGACGGGGATGCTGCGTCCTTTTCGGCTCTTTCGCACGCTAAATCGAGCATATCCAAAGCGTGGAATTTCATTTGAATCTTTCGAAACCTCACGAAAACCCTCGCGCGAGTCCTTTTGCTCTCACGAGTTTTTTGCCCAACTTTTATTTTCCCACCAAAGTAATGAGGATGCACCTCCGCGGTTACAGGTTTCTAAACTCCGCGTTCGAATAAGTGCGTTGCGTGAATACTTTTCGCAGACGCTTCTTTCGAGATGACACGATCTCTTACGCGATGAACGAATATTTTGTAAAAAAGAGATGAAGAATTTTTGGAAGAGATTTTTGCGTCGCGCTAAGAGCGCGAAAGAAGTCGTCAAAGAGGTAATTAATCGCTGACGGATTGTGACTGCGAGCAGTTTGTCAGACCCAACTGGTGTGATGTTAAGCAACCGCTTGTAATATATTAGTTAGGCAGGGTCTTGAAGCGTCGGCGGGAGCCGCAAATGGAACGAAGCGAGCGGTGATCGAGTACCTCTATGCGTTTTCCGGGGAGAGTGCCACATAGACGCAAGCGGGTAGGTAGTTACATCCGTTTCGGAACCGGGAAAACGTCCCCTCCTCGATGAGACGATGCGGTTACGTAGTTACTTCTCTCCCGCTTGTTCTCTCTCAGCTATACCTACTTACGTATACCGAACAGGTTACAAACGACGGGCACAGTATTACAACCCGCAAATTACGCGCGTTTCCCCGTTTGTCCTCCTTTCCTCTCCCACTTCAGAGAAACGCGCAAACCGTGCCGGTCCAAAACTGGTGGATTGAACGCGCTTCTGAAAGCTTCGCAACCCGCCTTCTCTCCTCCAACACGTATAAAGCAGGTTGACATTTATGGGATACGCACGAGAGAGACGATAGATAAATATCCGATAAACAGCGACAACAGAAACGTGATACCGTCGTATCTATGCGTTGTTTCTTCAATCGCTTCGTACATATATTTTGAGAAACAAATCAATCACACGATTGCAATGTTGAAAATTACAATGTTTTGCAAATAAACAAAAACTCTTTTAAGAAGATTAGAACTTATGTTGTATCTCTCTCTGCGCAGAGAGAAGAGTCAGGTAATTTAATAAATTTACACGAAGCAATTACCTTGCCCGCCTGCGAAAATCGTAGTCTCGATTGATGTTAATGCCATTAAATTAAAAATATAACGGCTGCAGAAAAGCGGCAGAATCGTTTTGTTTATTTCATTTCTTTGCACGAAAAGCGAAAAGACCGCTCTCTTTCTCTCTACCCGAAGGGTTCGTAATCCAGGCGGCATCACCACCGTAAATTAATTAACCAAACGACGTAATACGCAGACTCCTTTCGTCGTATTATTACAGGCCGAGAAGGCAAAAAAGATCGCCCCCGAAGCGAAATGAGGATTTTGGATACGCGTGCAGCATTCCGCAGATCCGGGGGATCTGGAAAATTAAATCGCGACGCAAAATTAAATCTTTGTGCGATGTGAACAATATCGCATTGTTTGCAGATATATATGTTTGAATATAGAATGTGTGTGCACGTATAGAAATGCACACACGCAATTGGAGATTGAAATAAAGTTTAAAAAACTTACAAAAATAAAAATTTCATCTCATTGATAAAAAATTGCTCGATATTTCTTGATAAATATTTATAATTTTATCAATATAAACTTGTGTATAATCAATATCTAAAATCGCGATAAACAATTTACTATGTAACATTTTGAACAAATAATTATAAGACGTTATAAATGTCGTTACAACTTCCAATGAGTAGAAAATTACACTAACGTGTAATATTCCTAGTACATTACTCACATATTGCAACAACTTGATACTTAAATGTGTTTGCTGGATTGGGAATATCCTTAGGAAAAATCTTGGATGTTCTTTTTTTCACAAATAATCGTAGTCGTATATATACAACAATTCTATATTTTTTCATGTACATCATATTGATGGTTAAAATATGTTAATCTACTGTAAAATCTTCACATTTTAGCCTTATAGCTTGCATCAGATAGGGAACTCTTTCGTATTCGGGTAACTTCATCCAAGAAGTAGAATTTATCGCAATTGTGTTAGATTTGGTGAATGCTTCAGCAGATTTTATATTTAACGACCATGTACTTTTTAATCTTTGCGAATTCACCGCGTAAGCAACGTCAGGTAAATTAAAGATAAGTATCCTAAAATACAAGATACGCACGTTTTAACAATATATAAGTAACAATAAGAGTCAATTGTAATGCATTAAGTAAATGTGTAAATAGTATGTAAATATAATTACATTTGACTCTCGTTTGGAGTTTGTACGTCTTCGATGTACATTGTTTTAAATTTAACTGCTGTATTTGTGTTAATTGCGACTGGATATCTACCTTTTCTCATGACAACAACATGGTCTGAAACAATAAAATTTTAAATCTGTCTTTCTCTCTTCCCTCACGTAAATTGTGTTATTAAATGTCAATCAAAATTTTATACGTAAGTTAAGAAAGTAGTTAGCAACTTACCAATATGATGACCAAGTCTGGTTTTTAGGTTATTGTGAATATACTGAGGACCACCTAATGCTAGTTCCAACGCTGACCTCAAGGAAAAAGTAGGAAGTATCGGACCAAGATTGATAGCGTGTTCAAGAATATCTTGAGACGGCCATGATCTATCGTATGTAGGATACAGTGTTTTTACGCTTTGGTATAACAATAATAACTCTCTCGCATAAGTGTCTTTCAGCGCTTCGTTGTTTTGTATATTTTGAGAAAAGACTTTATCGAGTAAGTTTGGATTATAACAATCTAGCGCAGTCAGATGCAGAACAAATCTAATCATAGATCTGTTGAAAGATTTATCTTTTATATCACTCGCTAATATCGCATCTTTTATGGTATCCCAAAATACTGGTTTATAATCGGCATTGACAAATCCCTCCAAGAAAACAGATAGTCTAAAATATGATGCATCCTTCAATAGACTCGGCTGTTCAAAACATTTTGCTGATAAATATTCCAGGAAAGGTATATACGCGTAGTTCAGCTGATTTAATACTTTGAGTAGATAAATGCCGTCAACAAAATTAATATTCGAAGATAATGCCGAATTAATAAGAGCATCTATAATTGCTTCGCTATAAAACTTCGATCCACGTTCTTTACTGCAACAACAATGTATACTGTAAATATTTCACTCGTTAAGAATTATATAACCATTTGTATAATATTAAAGCATACTTCTTTCCAATAACAAATAATAATTTTTCAGATAGTTTGATTATCTGATGAATACTCAATTCTCTTGCGTTAGTTATGAGTATGTTTTGTACATCGGATAACACTTCTAAAGTAATTGGAGATAACTGAGTTTGTGTGGAACACAAACTGTAGAAGATAGACCAAGCTGCTTGTACGTCCATACTATTTTTATACTTCAGCAGTGCCTTGAGTATTATATCTCGTAGTTCTTGATTACTTATATTATTTTCATTTGCAAATCTCAGAGACCACGTTAACTCGCTTATATTATCAGCATCTAACTTTGTGGGTAGCTGCGCCTCGAATACTAAAGGCAGAGCTATCAGTAAAGCATCGCTTAGTGGTGTACTGTCCATTTTCTTCAGTAAATAAACTATAAATATTATCTCTCGAAGAGAGAGTTCATTTATGGTTGTGCGGATCATTTGCAACAATGACTGAATTATAATGCTGTTTGATGGAATCTTGAAGTAAGTAAATACCTTTAGACTCTCAATAACATCGTTTGTTTTCATGAGTCTAATATTTCTATTTAGCACTTCACACAGACGCACAAAGCCTACATGCTTTCCAATATTTGGTACATCTCTTGTGTGTCTACAAGATTTAAACACAGCAGACATTGTATCAACAGCTTCATCTACTGTCATATTCATGTAATTTGATGCTGCTTCTTCTAATAACTTTATAGACTTATATCCTTTGCTATTACTGCTCACATGATACTTGCCCATTGGTAAAGTAACATCTTCCAGTTGTATATGATCTAGAAGAAATACATTTAAATCAAATCTCTATATATACTCGTACATATATGTATCAAGTTACTTTAAAATATTCAATTCAAAATATATTACCCATCAATGTACTGCTATATGTTCTTGATATGTTCTGAACTGATTGCAGTGGTGCTATATAGTTCGAGCAAACATTTGAATTGCCCAATATTCTATATAACTGCAGAAATTTTCTTAGAGATCTGTCCATTTTATAACTACAATTAAATCTTTCTGCAACACAAAGCATTATACATGTTTATCTAAAAAGCTTATTGTTTCTAACCTATTACGATGTTTAAGAAATAAAAGTATTAAGTATACAAGTAAATATAAACTAATTATAAATATAACACAATTTGTCAAAAAGAAAGCATTATCAAAAGTAATATTTAGATCTTTTTATGTTTCTAACATTTTTTTATTCAGTATTTATGATTTTATCTTATCATACTTAGACTAAGTAAAGAATAATGACTATCTTACTGGTTTTTAATCAAATTTGATGTAATTACACATATCTTGATAGATAAAATATGAAAGATCAGATAGTTAACCTTGTCGGTCAGCAGAAAAGAGAATAATAACCTATTTTACCAATTATTCTTCAATTATCACTAGGCCGCAACACATGTATACAGGGTTAGCTTGTAACTCTTGTAAGGTTAGCTTGGTGCAGATAGGGTTTAGTTTGGTGCACTTGTGGCACTTGGACCGTAAAGATTAGTCCATACGAGACAGAGAAAAAAACGGCCAAACGTAACTTGCGTTAGCCAGTCATATCGTCTCAACTATCATACGCAAATACGCTGAGACGATATGATTGGCTAGTTACCAAGTTACGACGCATGTAAAGGCAGCCTAAGGCTGCGTTCGGGGAGCGCGCTATCAGCGCTGTTGCATCATCCTATCTTTATTGCTCATTGATGTAAAACAAAGATAGAATGACGCAATAGCGCTGATAGCGTGCAACCCGAACGCAGCCACAGTGTGCTCGCGCATTTCGAGCGCAACTTCGTTGCGCGTGCGTACCTCTTGATTCAATCCAATATGTCGATGTGATCGGTAGTTTGTGCGTACATGGTTAGGATTACTTTGCTCGGTGATTTTACGGTGTGCGTAAATTTGTACAAGCATCACTGAACAATGATCTAAAATTCCCGCGTAGTGCTCCAATCGTAAGAAAATAATTGTGATATAGTCAAGAAACAATAAGATCGCGACAATATGGTATGTTTTACACGCCTAATAGCATTTCGCGCGATATCGCCAAAGGATATTAATATGTAAAAATCTCGTTGAGATAACAATCGTTGTTGCGATTTTGCAGATGCAATTTATGTTACTGTTCAGTCGTCAAGGCAAACTCCGTTTGCAAAAATGGTACGTCGCCCATCCGGACAAGCTAAAGAAGAAAATCACGCGAGAACTGATCACAACGATACTCGCGAGAAAGCCGAAAATGTCGAGTTTCTTAGAATGGAAGGACGTGAAGGTCGTTTATAAGAGGTATGCACATCCGGGAAATACCATATAATCATAATGTAGCAATTTGCGACGTATAGTTTTACGCTTACAGGTATGCGAGCTTGTATTTTTGTTGTGCAATTGAACAGAATGATAATGAGTTGCTGACCTTGGAAATTATACATCGTTATGTCGAATTGTTGGATAAGTATTTCGGCAGTGTGAGTATACACAGTAAAATCCTAAGTAGTACAAGTATATAATAGGTGTTTTTGTTAACCACAATGATAAATATAATGAGCACTAACAATTTATTACTAGGTATGCGAGCTGGATATAATTTTCAATTTCGAAAAGGCATACTTTATCTTAGACGAGTTGCTTGTTGGTGGGGAGATTCAAGAGACTAGCAAAAAAAATGTTTTGAAAGCCATTGCTGCTCAGGACCTGTTACAGGAGGTTAGTTATGGAACAGAACCCATTGAATTGTAACAAGTTTTCCACTTATTAATAGCACAAAGATTGTGCACATACATGTTTTCTTCTATAGCCAGACTTGGTTGTGAAAGAAATATTTTTAGATCGTTTTTACGTTGCTGTTGCACAAAGCCATTTTTGTAATTTGATATAGAAAGACTCCACTTAGTGACTATCCGGGTAGAAAAACAGTACAAATGAGAATTTTTTATATCTGTATGTGCATAATATTTCATGTTTGATACATGTGATGTTATAAAACAATCTATATGCTATTGCTTCTTCTTGCTAATCATATATTGTTTCTACTGAACAATCCTGATATTACGAAAGTCAAGCATGTACTAAAAAAATCTATTCAAACTAGGTGAAATTACATACTCAAATTTCTTTATTCATAGATTTTGTTAGATGTAATTTAATGCAGTACGTGTTTGATGATTTTTTTTTTTTTATAAAAGTACAAAGAGCAATTATCTGAAACTCAATGTAATGAAGCATTTGTTTTTGTAAAAGTTGGAATATATAATACTTGCTAGTGAAACAGTTGACACCTAGTAACGATAGATTATAAAAACAAATTGGTACAAGACACGCATGAAGGCACTTAATAATATAATTAATTGCCTCTCTATAAAACAATTCAAATTTTCTACTTGCTTTAATGTCGCCTGTCTTTCTGCATATAATTATAATAATGTATATATCTATCTATACAGTGTTACATCAGCTATATCTGTGACAAATCTGTGTGTTTCTTGTTAATATTTAATGTTGCATGATGTGATCGAACAATATCTTTTGCATTTTATGAGGTAATATTTATGTACAAGAGAAATTCCATATTGTTTGTATACATGTACAATACAAACATTTGTATTTGGCGCTATATTTACAAGTTCTTTCACACATATGCTGTTTTATATGACATACAGATCGTGAGAGAAACATAACACATGTTCTTTTACAATATTTTATACATATATATTGTTATTTTTTGCATCAAGCATCTAAAATGTTTACATTGAAACGGTTTCAAAAGTGATATCTATTGCTACATCTCTTGTTTTTTTCGAGACTTTGTTCCATGTAACATTCAATTTTTTCTATATGTCTTATTGTTTTTGTTAAGCATGATCAATATACTATCTATAATGTAACATCACATATCGATAATAGTGAGAAAATGCAAAATAACGGGACGTAAATATTAAATGTTTTTATAGAAAATCCTGTATGCTTATATAAGTGCTTTTTTTTTGTACGCTTCTCGTTTAATTTTTATGTCGAGCTTGTACAGTTTCTTTATTAATATTTTTATAATGTTTTTAATTTTATGAAATATATACACACATATGTCAAAGAAAAAATACATTTTTTGAAGTTTGCATTTGTACATATCTAATATGCCATTAAAGTAATTTCATTAAAAAAAACAAGTGGAAAAAGAAGAGACTAGCATAATTATTCATTCTAGTCGTTTGTTAGATTTTATAACAAAATGTTTTTGCGGAAATATATACACTTTTGTAGGTTAAAAATATAATTTGTTATATAAATTGTTTTACAAAATTGTTGTAAAGTAAAACTTTTCTCACTTATGTTATGTAGTAGTATTTGTTACTATTTTACTAATTCGACACATTTTGAAGATCATTCTATTTTATACTTCAAGAACACATGTGTTAAAGTTTTGTTAAATTAATTGCTAGGTTCTTTATTACAAAAAACATTCCCTGTATTGTTGTTAAAAGTTAAAATGTAGTATATTTAAACTTAAGTAGAGAGAGAGAGAGAGAGAGAGAGGAAATGTTATATATAAAATATTCATATAATACATGTAAATATTATTTAAAAAAAAACAAAAAAAAATTTACAATACTTTCTTTTCTTGTATGACTTGTGTAGAAAAAACAATAGAGAAGATTCTCTGTTTGAAGGACACGCACAATGCAATACACAATATCTTATTCCATGTATTATTTTTAATATTTGAATTACGTTTATATCTATTTTACTTCCGTATGTATGATTTTGAAGCAAATCATGTGCATGTGCTGTTGATGAAACATTTTCTAAAAGTGAATGAAAAGTGTTACTAATAAATTAGGTTGTGGATTTATTTCGCGCCCGGCAAGACAAAAAAATGAGCGTAAACAATTATAAAACAAAAATATGATAGCTATCTTTGAAAACCGATCAACTTAGACCGGACGATTTAATCCGCAATCTCCTATTAACTGCCATATATGTTTATCGAACTCGTACAAAAAAGCATGACACCAATGCAATGATCTGTGCACCTATATCTTTTCTGATAAAAGCAAGAATGTCGTTAACATTATTGCCATATGTTAAACTTGATATTCAGGATCTAGAGATTAATCAGTTAATTCCATAGATTATGATAATGTGCGTGAAGCACTAGACTTAGAATAAATGAGAAGTGTATTAAATCTGTTGTTGCCGTTTATAAATAGAGTATCAACCTGTATATGTGTATGCCATTAAAATCTAATAAAATATCTTCCAACAGTTATTTTTAGTTTGTAACACATTTTTGTGTCTGATATGTATCTGTATATTTCATTTTTCAAGTAATAAAATATTCAGTAGTTTCCTAAAAATATCGAAAAACATTATCATAGTTTAGTTTGTGCTTAGTAGCTTTTCAATATAGAACGTATAGCATTTTAAGGCGTAGGAAATTAACATCTCTTCAAGAGTAATAATTGTGAAAAACAATGTTATATATATACACAGAAAAGTAAAAATAATAAAAGTAAATATTACGCAAAAATTAATGTGGCTTGAAAAGCTTATCTTTATATAGCAATTTTCTTGTAGATATATATGTAAAACAAAACTTTACATAACAAAAATATAACGTAATTTGCTTGTAATATTATACTTCACATGTCTGTGATATTGTGCAATACATACGTATTATGTATCGTGTGTGTTAAATCCATGGTAGATAGGGGCGAAGTAGAAGTTTAGCGAAGACTAGTTAGTTTTTCTTTGTTTGTTGTGGAAGGACGAAGCTGTGGAAGGTGCTCTGCGGGAGATAGGGCTTTTATAGGTACCCTATTGCTTGCATGAGCTTCACGGACAGAGTATCGACCCACACGATCAACCCAAAAACCAGAAAAGGCTTACCTGCTGCATGATGTCACATTACGACTCTACTATATATACATAAATACATGAATTCTCTCAAATCAACTTTACTAGTCATATACAGGACGTTTGAGGCATCCTGCAATTTTTTTTATCTCGGCTATAAGTTCTTTGACGAGTCAGTCTTTCTCTGACAAACTTTTTAGAAGATAGAGATTTATGAAACTGTTTTACCAGTCTGACTGCAAAAAATTAAAATATAAACTTTCTTTAATTAACGCGAACTTACAGTCAAGAAAAAAAATTGTGCGATGCCTGGAACACAGTCTGTGTATGTTACTATATTTTTGTATTAAGAACATTTATCTCTCACGCGTAGTGAAGTAAATGTCACGTTACCAATCTAAGGCTGAACTACCAAGTTCAATCTTAATGAATGTAAATGGCGATAGTTACCCACCCCACTCGTACTTTATAGTCTTTTATAGTCTTTTCAACTGTGGCAATAAGAGCATCTGTATTTATAAGTTATTTTCATGAGGACATTTGTATGTGTTATTGAAGAGCGTCAGTATTTAATGTGATTAATGATAGAGCACGTATATACACATTATATACTTCTATCTAGTTTTAAAAACTAATTACCAGGCAAAAAACTAAAAAAACTTATCTTTATACACTTTGTATTCTATGTATATATACACGTATATACTGTAAGAAGAATGTCAATTTTTCGATGTCATTATACATTAAGTGTAACTAGTAATAAATATATAGAATGAAATCTTTTAAATATCGTGAATGGAATTTCCGTGTTGTAATTGAAAATGAGCGCGTGTGCGACACATCGCCTTTCTATTATTAGTCTGTGCTATCAGTGTTATGAACACATAAATCTCCAGGTAGAGATAACACACTAGCGTTTCCTAGTTAGTTTCGTGAGAAGCAACACACACATGTACATATATTCGCTGAGATCGGTAGAGACAAAACTTTACATTTTGTCAACTGTATTGGATTCTATATCTCCGCTCTATAAAAAAAAAAAAAAAAAAAAAGCTAGTTCGCGATGTGTGAACCACAAAATCGCACTCTTATCCCATCCCAAAGGACGCTCCGACATGTTGCATGTAAAACAAGCAAATTTTGTTGGTGCTTACAAAAAGGTTTCGGTTTCGAGGCAAATAAATAAACATGCGCTTTTTTGTGCATCCACACAAATAAAAAGATACTCGGTTATATATGAAAAGGGTTCAGTTCATCATTTGAAGCTGCATCAAGAAGAGAATTTTATATGTGACGTAGGTACGTGTATGTTTATATATATATACATATTACATATATATTTGTTCATATATTCTACTTCTCAATATATAAATGTTTTGTAAAGTGCAGCATCAAAGTTAATTGATCCCTGTTCATATTTATTTCAAGTAGCTACATTCTAGTATAAGCATTGCCAATCGTTGTTAAATCTGTTCTTTTCCGTGTGTTCCAGGAGGAAACTCCTCAGGGATTTTTCGAGGATCACGGATTGGGATAATATTCTTCAAAACGACACTCTGCGCGCGCGCTTCATCGTAAGTGTACTACATTCCTTCGTCGTATAGCATTTCACGTTTATATTAACGCGAGTCATATCACCACTTGAATTGCAAAAATTAAGGAAAAAGGTTATATATAAACAAAAATCACACACACAGATATATATATATAAAAAAAAAGATAATATAGAGATATATGTGAATAATTTCTGTTTGTTTGTTTTTTTTAATTAGACGTTTTTTTCAAATCCGCGATTCTTTTTTTTTTTTTCTAAATATATATGTAAACACTTTGCAAATGTGTCGTGCGCAGTTAAAAAAGCTCTCGGCTGTGTACAGCCTATTTGCTGTGAGCAAAAAAATGATAAATATGCTTTCTCCTGTGGGAGACAATTGTGGAAATTCTACTTAGATAACAGAGCAAAAATGTGTTATACGCGTTATGAGATAAAATGAAATTATTAATCCGTATACACATTTGAAATTTGAAAAACGTATCTCATTTCAATGCGCATACAATCGCTCGTTACAGGACGTGTGAGAGACGTATTGTTTAATATCACACGCGCAAATATACAATATGCGTTAATCACATTTCCAAATGTTTCTCTTGTAACAAGCTGTTGTATAAGAAATATCCGCACATTTTCAATCGCAATGTTAAGCGAAGAAAATCGGATAATATTCACGCATATTATTATTACAATAAGAGCATATTCTGGTTGAAATGTGTTAAGAGGTATACCAGACTGCGTGTCAGAAAAAGATGGGAATTGGTAGTCGAACGCGTATTCTTTATGGCGATATAGTCTTTCTCTCTCTCTCTCTCTCTATTTGGAAAACAATTCCTTAGTTCAAAGATTCTTAGTTAATAGTCGATCATGTACTTAGTTTTAAAGGAGACTAGATAGAGCAAGTATTTTTTAGAGATTAGAAGACTAAAGAAGCACAAATCAGGAGAACAGCACCGAGCATGTCAAGTTTGTCGAATATGGATATATCACAATATATGTTTGCTCACGTTTACGAGACTGATTAACAGTATGATCTTATAGGCTGATTTTGATTCTCTACGTATTACTAAATTTATCGACTAGTTAGTTGCGCCAATAAAGTCTCATCGTAAGTCTCGCTCGAGAAATTACATTTCCACTATCAATTCCTGTTACTTCTGTGAAATCCAGGATTGTTAGTATTAATTAATATATTAGTAATGTAGTTATATTTTTAATTCTTAACTGAAATCTATTCTCACATTCCGCGTAATTAATTCTTCTATTATCAACAAAAGTATTTCAATGTTTGTTATCGTTTGACAGAATGTTATGTACTAATCTACACAAGTGTATGGTTTTCTTATTCCGCGGTATAATGACTCTCTTCGATATTAAATACGTAATATAATGACGTCATATCACACATACACACACACACACACACACACACACACAGTTAAGAGTCAAGAGAATTTTATTATTTTATCAAGAGTACACGATTATCGCATACAAACGATAATCACGTTTTGAATGACTCAATCACTCTTTTTTGCACTAAGTTTGATTCGAGAAGTAAACACGCGACGCAAGTAGTGTTCAGTATTCTTGTTAAAGAATTATAATTGTATTTTTATGAAAGCTTGAAAAACGTGCATATACGTAGCTTAAATATTGATCAAAGTTATCAATTTACGTGTGTGTGTGCATCCGATGCAGTTGTTGAAAGTAAATATTTTATAATATAAAAAAATGTATGTCGTTGAAAAAAACAAAACAAAAAAATGTGCAATTAAAGCGCATATATACCAATGTGTATTAACAATCTCAATTATTGTACGCTCGAAGTACTTCAATATTAAAGATGAGACAATAAGTTAAGTATATATTTGCCCTGCACATTTATATAATATAGCATATATATATATAATTATATTATATTATATATACACTATAAACATATCTATAATATATTAACGCAATTCAATATCAAATTCTGAGAAAATATCCACGTTCCAGCTGTGTGGATATGTTTCGCGGATGGTTGTTTCAAATGTTGTTACAACACGCATTTGCTTTTCTCGAACTATTAAAAATATTACATGTTTTTTTTTCCTTCAATTTTACGTACATTGAAGCAACATTTAATTGTTTTTGTTGTGTAATCTGAAATTGTTGCAACACGTTAAAATAGAGAGAAAAATGTTGCGAGAATTTTTCCGCTTGTTACAATCTTCTGTCGAAGAAAATGTATATCATACGTACTTAAACTATCTAAAACATTTAAAACAAACACGAGAGAGCTAGTGAGCAACCACATTCCACTTCAATTAATTGTCCAAGACCAAGAAGGCGCTTGTTCCTCGCACTTGATTAATCTATACACACGATATCGGTCTGCAACGTTGATCACGCAATTGTCTCATTCCGTTAGGTTTCTCCTAAGGTAATGCGGTAGTGTGTACATAAATATTTTATCATACAAACTCAAATCAAAAATAGTTGATAAGGGTTATCTTTGTTGCTATCCCTGGTATTGATGTTCGACGAAACGAAAAGCAGGACTGTAGTATAAGACTTTTACCGAATGTTAAGAATGAAATTTATATTACGTTAAGATTTCCTCCGAGAATGTTTGCATTGGCAGAAGACGATGCTTTGTGCTCCGTCCAAAAAATAAAGAAGTATATAAAAAAATATAGCGAACCACGTATCTCGTGTGTGTTACTTCTTTGTTATTCCCATGTGTGAGATATCACAGTTTTATATTGTTAACAGTCAAAAGACGAAGGTACATATATATACGTCTTGTGAAATCACAACAAAAATCTATCGCGTTGAAAAACGCGATCGGTGCATTTGATTTCGAGAGTAGAGAGCAACTGTCTGATCAAATTTGATCAGAATAAAATTAAATAAATTTCATTGTAAGGTTTGTTTTTAACGTATCACCGATCACGTTTAGCTCTCACTGACCTAATTTTCTGTCTGCATTCAAATGTTTATCGGAATAAACAGTTTTTGTCGTATTTTTCTCTAACACACGATCATGAGACCGCAATAGCGGTTTATAATAACGGCACTTGATATACATTTAGCGCATCCTCTCTCTCTCTCTCTCTCTTTCTTTCGCGCGGCCGTATTAGAATTTAAACTCGTTTCATTCAGCACGTTTGCCTGCTCGCGTGTGTGTGTGCGTGTGCGTGTGTGTGTCGTCGATCGCACAATAGGACGAGACGCGCGGCGAGATATAACTTTATAAATGTCCGTCAATGTAGGCATGTGCGAGCATGCAGACGACGGTTTTAATGAATACAACGGACGTGACAGGGATGAAAATGCGTGCCACCCCCTCGTTTCCGTTATTGAAAAATCCCGCAAGAAGAGGCGGAGGAGGAGGAGGAGGCGCGCGTCCAACTCCCGCGCGCGCGATTCACACGGCTCATTGTAACCGTCTTCGCAATCGCATATCCCGGACGTGTATCAGGAACGTGCGCCGATGCACAATGCGACGACGGGCGTCGCGACGATAATAGGCAGCATCCATTATCGAGAGGCGAGCGATTAAATGGAACATGCTTTCTGGTTGCCGAGGCCGCCGCCGCCGCCGCCGCCGCCGCCGTGAAACGCGCGCCAAGAGGAGGAGGAATCAATGGGAGAGGCCCGCGCGTTTGAGGAAACGAAATTATTTCGGGAAACGCGCGCGGTTCCCTCGACCAATTAACCGAACGAAAATAGTAACCCAAGATTCATGGGTTTACTCAAGTTTTAATCGAACCAACTCCGAGGAGTGATCGACAACTCTCGATTAATTCGGTCGAGTAACGCTCGCGCGATTGAGCAACACGATTGGTCAATTCCGCGAAATTAATCAGAGCTGCAGTCGAACGCCCGGGAACCCTTTGGTTATAAAATGAAAAATACAATAAAACATAAAACGAATTTAGATAATTATAAGGTAAAAAAATAATTTTTTAACAAGAGTAACAGGAGTGCCCTGTTGAGGTACAGCACGATGTACTTTTTTTTCGAAGGGACAAAATTGTGAGATATTTTTTTTTACCTCCCTGGGGAAAAATTTTTTTTTTTTTTGTGAAAATTCTACGAAAGAAATTTTCTCTCGAGATTCAGATTGGATTTCCCTGAGATGTTTCGAACGTGTAGGTACTCCCTAGACGGTAAAGTCCATCAGCGGGTAAACCCACCGCACTTGTTGTAAACGGAGCGAACGCGTCGGCGCGCGACAGGAACGACGTCGACGTCGCTTTCAGGCGCTGACGTCGACGCCATCGTCGTCGCTACCGTCGTCGCACCCTGACAACCGCGCACCGTTACGCATCCGTTAATTTACGTTAATTAACGCGTTAACGGCGATCGATCGGCCGATTCGAACGCGGTGGGGCAAAGTGCGAAACAACAACAACATCTCTCCGAGGTTCTTGCGTGCGGTTGGTGGCAGTTCTCCTTAGTTTCGAGTGCAACTTGTGCGTGTGCCTGCTTCTCTTTCTCTCTCACTCTCTCTTTCTCTCTTTCCCCTTCCTCTCCTTCCTCTTCTTATCGAAGATACTCATCGGGAAAGCGATCGCATCGCCGGTAACGTCATTGTAACGCACCTTCGGGAGGAAAATTAGCTCGGGCGTGCGCCCGATAAAGAGATAAGACGGTTTTGTTGAAGGGATACGCGCACATATATCGAATCGACGAACTTTGCCGTCTTTGTCGCGCGCGATGTAGTCGTCAAAGTGACGTCGGCGCATTCAGCGAACCCGTTTCCCCGGGTTTCGGGACAATTGAAAAGTGAGCGAGAGAACACACGGAAGAAGAGAGATCGAAAACAGAGAGAAAGCGTGCGGGCGGGCGAAAGGACGCTCTTTTTCGGAGCGTGTGTGTCGCGCGATAGTGAAAATTCTTCTTGACTGGAGAAATACTTATATAAATAATACGGCGCGCGCCGTTCGTTTTCGTCGACCTCACCTCGTCATCGTCTCAGTGCTGGAGAACGAGGCATCCGTTCCCCGCGATCTCGCGAGCAAAATAAAATCATTTCATTTCCGGCGCGCGGGGTTCCCGCGAATTTTTCTCGATCGATAGAATTTTCTCTCGCGTGTTAAAGGCGGTGACGACTCATCGGGCTGCGTTTTCGCGAGGGAGAGAGAGAGAGAAAAAAAAAGAAAGAGTATGGAAACGGAGTTGTCACGAGTGACAACGGAGCGGCAGCTCCGTGCGGTGGTTTGTACGTGAAAATAATCCACGTAAAGGGGCGAGAGAAAAGAGCACGCCCTTGAATCACTCCACTCGGAAGAGGGCGGCTCGACCGCCGCTCGGTCTTCTCTCTCTCTCTCTCTCTCTCTTTCTTTTTCTTTCTCTCTCTCTCTCTCTCTCTCTCTCTCTTTCTCTTTCTCTCTCTCTCCACCTTCTCCTCCACCCGTGTATGACGCCCCACTTAAGCCGCCAGGACAGCGCATCCGCGACTGGTCGGCCGATGGCGGTGACGACAAGGGGCTGATATCGTGAGAGAGAGTACACGTACGGCCATTCGCGTTCGCTCGGCGGAACTCGGGAGGTCTCAGAGTGAGTGCGAGGCATCATCGGCGGTTCGTTGGATGCGCGACACCGCGACACGCATCGTCGGCGTTGCACTGTACCGCGCGAGAACATCCCCGGCGAAGCAGCAGCGGACGAGGAGGAGCGGGAAGACGGTGGCGAAAGCGACGACGGTGATGCACGGCGGCGGCCGCGAGGGAACGATCGGCAGTAGAGCTGGTGGCGGATTGTGCAGCGACGAGGATGCATCCGGTTATCGCGGCGGTTGCCGGCGCGGAGCCGGTCGTACCGTGGCGCGGCACGGGGAATAATGCGTGTTAGACGACGTTGCGACGTTGTTGTTGCACGCCGTACGGGACGAAAACGACGAAGACCGTACGCGGAGGAGGAGTACGCGAGTGGGCCAGCGAGCGGCCGACCACGAGGAGGACCGCTAATACGTCGAGCAGCAGCAGCACCACCGTCGCGGCGGCTGCGGCAGCGCAATTATGTACACGTACGGCTCCGAGATCACGTAGTGTCGGGCGTGTAATTATGTTGTTATCGTCGTCGCGAGGCGCGTCCTGCGTAGCAGCCTCACGGTGAAACTCTGGCGTGAACGGTTCCGCGGCGGAACGGGGAACATGGCGTCGGTCGCGGACGAGACCCCAGCCAGCCATGGGCACAGCTTTAGCAAGAAGACGTTTCACAAGCCAACGTACTGCCACAGCTGCACGGACATGCTCTGGGGTCTCATACAGCAGGGGTACATCTGCGAAGGTAGAGTATGTGTGTGTGTCCCGCGGCCCTTCCCCCCCTTCTCCTCTGGCCCGGATGTGACACGCGCCGCGCGGAATCGCGTCGAGTTGAACGGTCTCCGGGAGAGATTGTTTGACAAGAGAGAAGATGATCTGCACAGGGATAAATATTTATTGTCCGCGCTTCTCTCTTCTCGAACAAACCTCTTCAGGAATCAAGAGCATCACGCGATCTCACGCGTGTGCAATATATATTGTCGTCTCTTCGTGCGGAACGAGAAAAAAGAAGCAGAATGGAAAAGCGGAGCGGTATCGGGAAAGATAGTAACTTTTTTTTTTTTTTTTAGACACACATCCCTCACGGAGGGAGTGCGCGTCTCTCTTGATCGCTATCTTGTCCACGCCGGAGGATGCGCATAGCTTTACAGCGAAAAGAGCGTTGCGATGCGACACCGCTCTCGGGGGAAATACTGGCGCAATCCCGGAGCATCCGGGATTTCTCGCGTCCGTCGTTTTAACGAGACGGAATCAGAACTCGAGGACTTTGTTGTTCATATCCTGGATAGTTTCGAGATTCATGATGAAACAACCGAGTAACCGCGGCGGAGTAACTTGAGAGAACGAACAACTTCGTCCGTAAACCAATTTTCAAACGAGCGCTTTCAAAAAAGAAACCCACCGTCGATCGATAGTTGACCGCGCGCGCTATCCCCAGTCGGATATTCCTACGGGGGAATAATATCCTCTCCGCGCACCATGTAAATAGAAAAGTCATCGCTGTCACAACAACACCGATGACGTTTCCTGTATGAATGACAGGCGTCGCGCGACACTGCGGTGGTGACATTATCCAGTCGGGTCCGGAGTGTCACGTTCCGAATGATCCCATCAAGTCTCAGGTATCCTCTTGGCGTTTCTCTCTCTCTCTCTCTCTCACTCTCTCTCTCTCTCGCTCTCTCTCTCTCTTTCTCTCTCTCTCTGTCTCTCTTTCTTGCAATGGGCGAACACGCGCCAATTGTGAATCCGTGCAACAGCACGAAGGAAGATGAGAGAGAGAGAGAGAGAGAGAAAAAGCAAGAGAGACAGGGTGCGATTTGTCGGGAAAAATAGAAGGAGAAACTTGGGAGGGAGGCGCGGTGGCAGAGCATACGCAGATCGCGCGAGCGCAAACGCGCGCCCACCTTTTCACGAGCATTGATCGCGAGGGGTGGGGTAGGATAGCTGAAAGACCATCACGGAAGGTTGCTCGAGGTGTGTGGGGCGAAGGGATGCGCGCGGACGGACGTTCGGCGGCAAAGAGGGTTGCCTCGAGGGAAGAGAGAGGAGGGGAGGGATGCGAGAGCTCGCTGACGGGTAAAGAGGCGTAAAGGACCTTCGTTGTAACGCGAGCTGAACGAGCCCTGTCCGAGCTCCCGCACTTCTCTTCCGAACGTATTGGAATGTTCGATCAAGAGGGAGAGAGAGAGAGAGAGAGAGAGAGAGCGCGGCTAGACCCTTAGATGTATCAAGCCAAAAATAATCCCGCGTCTCGCGGGATTTGTAGGTCAATTCCGAGTCTTTCCGCGAAGAATAAGAGAGATGCAATTATGTTGGAACATGGAAACAACGCAAAAGGAAAGTAAAACGTTTATTTGAAATTCGACGATTTCCTTTCTCGTGAATGATTGACGAGAGCGGAAATCGCGCGACAGGAAGAAGAAAAACGTGAAACACGAAATCGCGCTCGGTTCGGACAAACAAGTTTCGCGAAAACTCGACGGTTGTTACGCTTGTTTATTTCGTTAGAAATTTACGTTAGAGACTAGAGTTCGATGTAGAAGAAAAATGTGAATTTCTGTAGTTAATCTTTGTTTTTTTTTTTTTTTTTTGTTTTTAAGTAACATCACGTATTTTGCAAACATGTAAAGCCTCAGAAGATCTGCAATATTAATATCGTTTGGAGGAAGAATTCCGTATTGTAATTTCTCTCGGCAAAACTTGCCGAGGAAACTTCGGCGGGGCACTCTTTGAAGAGAGCGAGAACTTCGTCAATTAAATCAAAATAGTCTAGAGAAATGAAGCGGTAACTTCGTCGAGATGTCGAAGATAAAGCGTTATATATCCATCTAAAAGCCGTTGTTCAGCGTAAACCTCTCTCGCTACAACCCCCATTGTATTGATCGCTTTACACTGTCGGTTGCTTTAAATAAAGTTGTTTTTATATCTGCAAATTATACTTAGCATTGTGAGTGTCGGAGGAAAAAACTCCATTAGATAAATTGCCACGTTTTATACGTTTATTTTACACGACGTGTTTAATTGCCGCTTACTTTTCTCGCCCTTTTACCATTTGAGATTTGTTTGTTCCTTCCGAACATCTAATGGAATCACCGATCGTTATTACGTTCGCATTTACACACACACACACATTACACACACCTTCGTGCCCGCAAAAAGATTCTAGCTTCCGTGTGTGCGAGAAAACACACGCGGGGGGATGTAAACCGATTAAACATTCGTTATCACGTGTCAGATGTGGAACGTGTCCTCTCTCTCTGTGTACAAATCGTTTTTATAATAAAATTACACAACGGCGTTAAAAAGGAAAATCCGCGGCATTGTTTTTTAAAACAATGGAAAAATAACGGGGAAAAAGAAATTTCTTTTAAATTAAGTAACCACCGCGGCGAAAACAGATGTAATCGCGCGACACCGACGTGATTGCCTCTTTCAAAGCGATATGTAATAACCCGCCCTGTCGTACACGTTAGATCGTCAAATATAATTTGTAGTAAAACTCGCGCGAGTTGTTCTAATCGTCTTCAATTTGCGATTTGCATTTGCCAATCGTTATTATCTTCGTGTGTTAAGCAGGATGGGTTTTGCGCTTCGATAACTTCGAAGAACCGCGACGCGAGTCGGAGACAAAGTGAAAAAAAAAAAAAAAAACAGCGGAAACACGACGCGCGATAGAGAAGCGTTCGAGAAAATAAATAGATTGCGCGATGTGGGACTCTTTTCTTTTTGCGCGCGGACACACGAATGCTTCTTTGTGATTTAAAACTACCCACTCGACGAGTTAAAGTTAAACTCGGCGGCATTCGTGGAACGAACGGTCGATCGGTGTTGTGATGGTGGCTGATGGCGCCTTCTTAACGAAGCGGATGCATAGTACTATTTCGGGCCGCACCTGCGCGTCGATGCGACAAATTTCCCACATCTTGCCTGATTAGCGTCGCAAGAGCCGCGATAGAACTCCGATCATTACCGCTCTCGCGCAAAGAACGCGCGGCACATAGTGCGCAACCTTGTATCCTTTTTAACGGATAATGGTGTACACATAATGAAATCCCAATTATCGCCGTTATTTTATTATCGAAAAAAAAAAAAAAAAAAGAGAATCCTCGCGAGCGCGCCATCAAAAGGAAAGAGCGGGCGGAATGATTTTTGTTTATTTTAGGAAACGCGCGTTTATCGAAATAACGTTGTTGTTACTCTCTCAACTCTCTCTAAAAAATTTGCGTGAATAATGTAAATTAAAATTGACAACTCGTATAAATAAACATATAGAGAATTAAAAAAAAAAAAAAACAAAGATTTTTGCATTCTCTTTAACTCGACAGAGTTGAGATGAAAATCGTCGATTGGATTATTTTGCAATTTTGATATGTGACTAAATGACGCCTAAAATGACGCGCGTATTAAAACAAACGTTTTAAAAACTACTGGACTGCGTATGATTCCCGATGTTCTTGCTTACACCGTGAAAGGTCAGAAGATTTTATTATAAATTATACGACGGGAATATGGCTCATATTGATTTACGTTACACATTACCGCTTAGCAACGCTCTTCTCTATAATACACAGTATAATAATTGATTTTGCGCTCGTTTCTCTCTCGCATCAAAATGAACTCTCTAGGTTTTTTCTTCTTCTGTTATTCCAGTTTGTAACTTCGTGGTGCACGACCGCTGTCTCAAGGCCGTCGTCTCTCCCTGCTCCAGCATCGCGGCAAGCCTGATAAAAGTAAGCTGACGAACTATTTTCACCGCAAGATTGATTCACCAATTGTTCCCCGCAAAGATAAAATAATAATATTAAAAAAAAGTGATGTGTGTGTCAAAATTAACGTTCACAGATTTGAGAAAATATTAAACGTTCTCTTTTGTGCGTAATATTGTTGTAGAACCCGGTTGCACACTGTTGGTCCGAACAAGCAAAAGAAAACCGCAAAAAGAAATTCTGCAACGTCTGTCGGAAGCGATTGGATGACACATTGTCCGTACACTGCGAGAGTAAGATATATATGACAATCAATGAAATTGTTTTGAACCGCGTATAATGCACTGATTGTAAAAATCTTTAGATATAGAAAAAATTTGCGAAGCAAATGATTGGTTTTTTTTTTGTTCGCAGTATGCGAGTACTTCGTGCATGTTGAATGCCAAGACTTCGCGGTAGCAGACTGCAAGGAGAATGCGACGTATGTACCTGGGAAGGACCTGTCAGCGGTGAAACATACTCACCACTGGCGGGAAGGCAATCTTCCGAACAGCTCTAAATGTGCGGTATGCAAGAAGGGTTGTTTTTCTGCCGAGTGCCTTTCCGGGTTCCGTTGTGAGTGGTGCGGCATGACGGTAAAAAAAAAAAAAATTATATTAAATTTATTTAATTAGCTTTTAATTCTTATTGTATGTTGGTTGTTTTGAGTAAATGACGTTACAGACAGACTGATCTCAAAGTAAAATATTTTCTTAGAACGTAGAAGAGTACAAATTTTTGACTCCTCGTATTTTATAAATTCTTATTTTCTAAATACATAAATAAAAAAAAAATAGAATTCCGTTGTACCGTGTAATTACAAATTCATCATCTTTGAACAATTCATTAAAGAATTTGATATTTTTGGCCTCTTTTTAGTTGCACGCGTATTGTTTGAAGAATATTAGCCAAGAAACGTGTACCTTCGGTAACTTGGAACCAATTTACCTGCCACCACATGCGGTTAGTATTCCGCGTACCGAACTTCCCATGGAAGTCATCCTTGGAGTACAAATGCGTCGTAAAGAATTGCTGGCGCGTGAGTATTCTTGTGCCCTAAGTGTCTGCCGTGTAATTACGATGTGCGTGTTAAGAGGTAATTAGAATAATGGAATGAGAAATTGCTTCATCACATGTCGCAAAGCACTCTAATATGTTTTTATTCCCAACTGGGAATATATAGTTTAACCATTAAAGCAATCCCTTTTTGAAAGAAAAGAGAAAAAAAATATAAGTTAAAACGGTACGGATCTCTCTTTTCCTAAATACGGAAGGCAGATTTAATAACACAGCTTTAATAACGTTGTAAAAACGATAAAAAGTGTTGATTAAATCGTAAATCTAATAAACCACGTGTTATAAACGTACGCTCCGTGTTTTATCAGTGCACGCAGTTATTCATATAGCATAATTACGATATGTGTGTATTGTATCGCTCTAAGTATGTCATATATTTTCAAAATTATAGATCATCCATCAAGTCTCCTTATATAAATAACAATTGATAATTCTCTTCTCGTATTTATAAATACCGTCGAGAGTATATAAATTTTCATATTTTACTTGGTATGCATCAAACACATGTAAACAACACGTATGCGAAAATGCACCTACGATTTGTGACTAGTAGAAAATATTATACATTTGTATTCTGAAATTGGAGACAATATGTAACATATATGATCGAGATCTCTCTATGTTTTTTGAAATATATAAAGTTTTTTGTGCATGATATTATATTTCATATAGCATTTTTATTCACAAAACGCGTGTATAATTATTGTCGGTTTGTAAATATGTACATGTTCTTTCTTTTCGAAGCATGCAAACAGACATTGAGTTTCTTAAATATGAGACTCTATATATTCCTAAGGAATTATTGCCAGAAAAACATCCATTGTTTCGTTTTATCACGAACCGGAAATCTTTTCTTCTCTTCTTCCTTCTCTCTCTCTCTTTCTCTCACTTTCTCTATCTATCTCTCTCTCTCTCTCTCTCTCTCTCTTTCTTTCTTTCTCTCTATTCTCAAGTATTAATGACATTCTAAAGTCTCGCGCGTAATAATTGTTTTGATATTTCTAAATTTCACTCAAATAGGTAATTTGTGTACTCGCAGTTTCTCACTCTCAGCTTTTTATAGGTTTTCGCGAATAATTTTCAATAAATAATACAAATTGTTTTAAAAAAAGCGTTCATAAGAGTGGAAGAGAGGAAATCCAATTTTTCGAATCATTATGTAAAAACTAAAAAATGTGACATTAAAAAACATCGTGCAAAGTACCTCTGCAATTTACAACTTTTTACGTAGCGCACAAAAATTTGTAGAAATTAGAAATGATATATTTCATATTATAAACAAAGTATAGCTGCGTTTTTCTCTAAATAATATTTGAACACGCATTTCTTGTTTCAATGACGTATTTTGTTCACGATATATTTGTATCATAGCTTTTGTGGCTGACGGCTCTTATTTAATTGCTATTTTCACTTCGCTTCTAATAGGCGTAATGTATTTTTTGATATCAATATACAGCTCTTACTTTTATAGAGCTTCGTAACTAGATTGTAATTAGAGCATTGCCATTTTTTTCAAGGTTGATATTTTTGAGAAAATACAAAAAACTAAATAAACAACTTCGGGTGTTGTTCCTGTTTGATATTGCGTGTGTGTGCGTGTGCGTGTGTTCAAAGCACATCTTTTACTCTGACCGTATGTTAAATCGATCTCACAGAGTAGACACGAGTTTCGATCAAGAGATAAGAAAACCCGAGAGTGTAAAAAATAACAAACTAACGTATCTAGAAAACGAAGCAAAATTTTTTAAGAGTTGAAATTGTGATTAAGCTGTTAAAATATTCGGTCTACCTTTTCTTCTCTGTGAAGATAACATCGAAGAGCAATTCGAATTCGCTGAGAGTGAACAAAACGGGGCTGCAGGCCGTCTAGCCGAAGCTTTGAGGCGCCTTTCGCTAGTTTTGCTGCCAAGTAGCTGCCATGGACATTGTTATGCTTCCCCTCCTTATGTTCAAGGTATCTAGAATATTATCATCGTCAAACATTCATCTGTGTGAATGTACTAAATTCTAAGATACTTATCATACAAGACTGAAAACAAATCGAAATATATATATATGCTGTAGTGATCGTCGTTATTGCTGAGAAAACGCTATATTATAAGAAAAAAAAACAATCATATTTATTTATACATTTTTTTTCTTTGCAATGCGCAAATTTAGTTTGCTTTTGTCATAGTTTTTCGGCGTATATATTGTAAAAAAATAAAATTATATCGATACGTTTCGTAAAAGTCCAATATCGGCGCAAAACGTAATGTAAATGTCTAATCACACTTGTCACGTGTTTGCTGTTTGAATCAGAGAGAGAGCTGCGGATTACGCACAGAAATTAAGTACATTTCACAAAATTTGGCAGAACTAGTGTATTTGTCGATAGACATAACTTGTTATTCCATTGATGAGATCTAGTTTTTTATCTCTCGAACTTATCTGACTTTTGAACGAGAATGTGATGTTGATGACAATCTGATACCGTTCACGTGTGAATTTAATTTAGAAATTATACATAAAGACAATATGTTGAAGCATCAAATAAATATATAATGTTTATATGTATATAAATATCATGGTGCACCGATCTTCTTTATGGATGTTATTTTGTTACTGTTTTTTGTTAAAAATTTACGTTCTAGCATGTTATAAATGTTTCGCTTCAGTGCATGCACTGTCATTCAGCCCACTGGATGCTATGAGATTCCATGACGCTTATCACTCTACTATGCAGTGAAATGAAGTTCAAGAATACTACTAATTCTTCCTATCATGTGTGTGTGTTCTACAAACCTATCGTAAATGATCGATGGTAAGAGATGTAATTTATTCTTGAATGATAAATGGAGTTGTGCGCGCACAACGTTCTTTTATCAATTATTCTTCGTTCATTGTTCGTTCGTAGAGCATCCAATGCAAATGTATCTTTCTCGAGTGTTTCTACTTTCAATATTGAAAACTATTAACTCTTTCAATCATAATTAATCAAAATAACATAAAAGTTCTAAATATAAACGAATAAAAAATACACTTTAAATACAAAAAAACAAAATTGTCACTTGTAGAATAAAATTATTAACAATAACAATTACGTTGTTATAACTAGCAATAATTCTACTTAAAGCTTATGCTGTTTCATTAATATTACAAAATATTTTATTAATTTCTGTTAATAGATACCACGTTAATTAATTGTTATCCAAGTAACAATAACAAAACTAAATTTTTTTCCCACGCAAACTTAAACATATGCGGTGGAAAAAATACAACTTAGATGATTTTCAAACGTGATAATCCAACGTTCGAGAAACTTACGTCCCGTCTTTGTGTTCACAGCGCGTAGCATATCAGAAGAATTTAGCGATTTGAGGTTTCGTGACAATGAAGAATCGGCACAGGGTATATCGCACAGCCGCGATTCGCAAAAATCTCCGAAAGAAAAAGAAGACAAAGAAAGAGGTGACGAAGGTATTTCAATATATAAAATTCCCGATCAACAACATCGGGATTTTTCTATTCTTGATCCGTGAATTCGATATTTTCACGCAGAGATGATCAAGGTGTACGATGGCAACAACTCGGTGAGGCAACAAATATTTCGTGTGATCTCGGTACCCAAACAGGCTACAACGGAGCAGATGCTCACATTGGCGTTACGCGCATTTCACATCACCAAAGATCCTAGCAACTTTTTCTTAACCGACCTGTATGCCGCGGAAGAAACCGAATTATGCGATCCGACGCCTGTCTTAAATTTAAATCGCAAAGAAGGCAAACGTCCGGCTGTGTTCTTACGATTTAAGTAAGTTTACGTTACATTTTCATTCGAACTGACAAGAAAACTCGCACATTGTACACATTCTAGAAATGTATTAAATGTGTTGTTATGCCTATGCAAATGAATAAAATTGCAGAGATAACGACAGCGGAGAGGTGCGAGTTTATTCAGGCAAACTGCAGGTATCAGAGTCATTCTGTCTAGTACCTGTCACCGAAACATCTACAATCGAGGACTTGATCAAAGATGCACTTGAAAAGTTTGGTTTACATGATTTGGATCCCAATGACTATATGTGTAGCGAAACTCTCTTAGACCACGGCGGTACGTCTTCGGATTTGTCTCGAATTTAATTTGCTCGCAATTTTTACACGTGATAGAGTTTGTTTTCTTTTCAACAGTGATTGAAAGAATTTTACCTCTGGACGAAAGACCTTGGGACACTGTCAAGAAGTTGGGAAAAGAATCTATTAGACAAATGGAACTAATGCGATTTTACATACAATCGAAACAAGATCCTCACGGACCTAACTTAGCTTTGTTCGTAGGCAATTTGCCGAGAAGTCTTTCCGAAAGAAGCTACGAAAACATGTTAATAGATTTTTTAGGAGAAGGTTAGTATGGTCGTCGAAAAATATTGTCGATTAAATTAAAGAAATGCGTTTGCTTACTCGAGATAAAACTTTGGTTTGAACTTCTGTAGAAAATCGGTTCTCATTAATTGGCCCAATTTATTACGAGCACGGTTCGATGGTTATCATATACGAGGACGCGAATAAAGCGGTTAAAGCGTTATACATACTACGAGAGTCGAAGTACGAAGACAAGCAACTTCTAGGTATAATTTGAGCAACATTTTGTGCATCTGACTCGAACGAGAGAGCAACATTAGAATATTTATCTAATTTGATTTCTTTTTTCTTTCGCTAGTGATGCTATTGCCAAGCATCGAGCCAAGTATGGTTCCATCGAATGTTCAACCGCTGCTCGTGTTTGTAAACGTGAAGTCTGGCGGTTGCCAAGGACTCCAATTAATTTCCAATTTTCGTAAACTGTTAAATCCCTATCAAGTGTTCGATCTTGGTAACGGTGGACCTCTTCCTGGGTAAGCAAGTCTTATAGCTTCGACTAATGGGAAATTGTGTGTGTACAATTTTTTTATTGTTCACACAATTATAATCTCGAAAGAACAATTTAGAGAAACAAAGTGCGCTCTTTATGTTATAGACTTTACGTTTTTCGTCAAATAAAAGATTACAAGATATTGGTTTGCGGTGGCGACGGAACAATAGGCTGGGTATTGCAATGTCTGGATAATGTGGGACAGGATAGCGAATGTTCGTCTCCCGCTTGTGCTATCGTACCTTTGGGAACGGGAAACGATCTCGCTCGCGTATTATGTTGGGGTTCGGGATACACAGGTGACGAGGATTCGCTAAGTTTGCTGCGAGACGTTATCGATGCGGAAAAAATAACACTGGACAGATGGACCGTAGTTTTTCATCCGGAACAAGAAAAGGATCAGATTCAAGCGGGCTCAAGTAACATGGCTGGTAAGAAATATTTTCTCCTGCTGTGTCACAAACGAGTTTTGTAATTTATTTTCTAAAAAAAGACCCACGCAAAAAGTATTACATAATCAACATCGTGCCTATTTTTATGTTACAGGCGTTACTTCGACCAGCGAAGATAACACTCAAATACACGTAATGAACAATTATTTTGGCATCGGACTCGACGCGGATTTATGTCTAGATTTCCATACAATGAGAGAAGAAAATCCGAACAAGTTCAACAGTAGATTTCGAAATAAAGGCGTATATATAAGGATAGGTTTACGCAAAATGGTTAATAACATCCGTAATCCGGGCGTAGACCTACATAAAGAAGTTCGGTTGGAGGTAGACGGTAAATTGATCGAGTTACCACAAGTGGAGGGAATAATTATTTTAAATATCTTGAGGTGACTATTATTGGAACTTCTCTCTTTTCTGTGAAACATTACTTTGAATTTTAAACAATAAATGTTTTTTCTCTTGTCTCGCAACTTAGTTGGGGTTCCGGTGCTAATCCTTGGGGAAGTAAACAGGCTAAAGCGAATCAATTTAATAGACCAAATCATTGGGACGGTATGTTAGAAGTTGTCGGAGTCACGAGCGTTTTCCATCTCGGACAAATACAATCAGGTCTGCGCGGGGCCAGAAGGATAGCACAGGTACAACTTAAAATATCTACCAAACTACTGATAATCGATCTTGTTGCGCGACGTATTAATTTGTAATTTCGTCGGTATTTCGATAGGGCGGACACATAAAAATTCACTTAAACTCAGGCATACCTGTACAAGTAGACGGTGAACCGTGGATTCAGAATCCCGGAGATATTGTAGTTTTGAAATCAGCACTCAAGGTAATCTAATTGACGTAAGATTTTAAGATAAACACTTTTCCTACAATTCCACAAAAAAAAAAAAAAACAAAACAGAATCGTTTATTGAAACAATAAATGTATCGAATCGTATTCTAAAGCAACAAAAAAAAAAAAAAAAAAACGAGAATAAAGTTTTCATATCTGTTTGCGTTTTTAAGTGGAATTGATGGGATATGATGTTCTTGTGGCACGTAAACTTTTTTATAACAGGAGCATCCGTATGTATCACTTTGGTAGTACCTTTTGTTCCATATTACGATACTCTACGTATTCTCTGTAAGAGCATAACCTGATTGCTGATGCCCGATCAGAGCATGTTTTCCTGCCCTAATTGCACCGAACTAATGCCTCCTTGTTCCTTTGTTCACTTCAGGCTACCATGTTGAAGAAAAGTAAGATCAAGCGTCGCAATACCGAACCGTCGATTCTACCTGCTAATGAGGAGGGGGGCAAGAGCACGGACGAGTAAATCCAACTATACCACAACTTACAACCGCTCGATCGTTCATATAAATCTCGTTGAACACGCGCGATAATCACACACGGCCTAGTCTCCTCGACCGTGCGCAAGCAATGCACGAAAGAGAAGCCTCGGCGTGACAAAAACGTGTCGTCTCTCTGATAAACTGATTTATATAAAAACCACAAAACAAAATTACACGAAAAAAAAAACATTCGGTCCCTCCTCGTTGACGCATGTAAAACCGATCAACACTTTCGTATAACATCTTGTTGATATCTCCAATTTTTAATTCAGCTAGCTCGAGCTTGTAATGTGTGGATTAGACGCATTTAATATCGGATAGTAATGTGTTAGGCTTTACGAGAGTAACATTTCTTCTTTTCCTTCTTTCTTCTGCATATAAGTTGTGGTGTTGCCCTTAAGTTTGTAATTTCTATTTCTATTTCTGTATATTTCTATTTCTATTTCTATTTTGTCAGTGGCATTGTGACTGACATTTTTTGATTGATTGCTCTCCGTTTTGTGCGCTCCCTTTGACCCTGTCCCTTCCTAGGCTACGATGCTGAAGAAGACTAAGGGTAAAATGAAGCGGGACGATACGGAATCCAGCATGCAGGCGCTTCAGGCTGCACCATCGAACGATGCAGATGAAGATAAGACTGGTCCGAGTGAATAAATAAGTAATGTGAAAGTGTGAAATCAATGGCGTTGCGATGGCGCGCGCGCGCGCGCGCGTCAAAACAAAAGAAAAACAAAACGTATTACAGAACTCGATCGATTAGCGTACGTAACAAAATAAAATCGGCCTTGAAATCGTCCGATGGCGGTTGCGCTACACGAACTTAACATAAGTACTTAACTGTGAAAAAAAATGCGAGAGAGATTTCATTCGAGGATGTGTAACAGAGAGGGACAGGTAGATAAAATTTTCAATTACACAGATACGCCGTATATACAGCATAAAATCCATTATCTCAACTCAATGATTCTCTTAATGTTTGTTCTTGTATTAATAGACGAAAATAGATCGAAGAAACAAGAAAAAGGGCAATTGGAGCCGACGCAGCTCTTGATGCGCGAACTTGATTGTTTGTTTCTTTCTTCTTTCTGGTGTTTACAAAGAAAGATATGCGTTTCGATCGCAAGTTCACGTCCTCATTAGTGTACGCAACAACAATAATAGTTTGAGTCAGTTTGACAAATTAAATCTAATTCAATTGAATTAGTTTTCAATCGCGGAAGATAAGAATCTCTTTCGCCGTTGATAAAATAAGGCTTCTAAGCAAGTAGAAACTTTGTGCTCATTAGTTTCAAACGAACGAGCGATGCTCGTCGGTCAAAGATAAGACACGTACAGTCAAATCTCGCTAACACTAAAAACTACGAAATCGAATTTTCATTCATTTCCCACATGGAGAAACGCTTACTTTGAACGCTTCTACGAGCAGAAGAAACAATTTAACCTATGTTCTGTTATGTGAGTTTTATGTGTTGTTGTCAACGTGCCTTCAGCCTCTATTGAGATTTTTTTAGCACACTATAAAACTTTTGTTATTACAGAAAATAGGTTAAATTATTGAGAGCCTCGTGTTTATCAACGGTGATTCTATCTCGCGCGATTGACTGTATAATTCAAACAACAACTGGAAGTACAAACTTCGTTGTGATACAAGACAAATTCATTCTTTTCTAGTTGCTGAATAAAGTTAAAACAAATATCTGCCATCATATAAAAGTGTTAACGTTTAAAAATGAAACAAAAAGGATTTGCTAATTCTCTAGAAACATTTATACTTTTTGTTGCATCCTTGTCTAAAGTAACTTTCTGTCTTCTTATCCGGCTATTCGTTCAATCGAATCTGCCGGTTTTGGTCGACTTGAATTTGTTTATTATTCTTGCGCGCCGATGAGGACCCAAAAACGAACGGTCGCAACACATGTGTTTCTTGCGCGCGCGTTAAAAAAAGAAAGAAATGTAACAAAAAATTTGCGCACGAAGGAACCGCGTTGAGACTCTTGTCGCAATTCTCTTGTTTCCTCGATGTTATATCCTCTTAGAGCTCTTTATTGCGCGAAAATAGATCTCATTTTTAAATGTTACTGATTCTAGCATTGTAGCTTGTCGATCGATATATTTTTTTTTTTTAATCAAATTATAATAGATTCTTGAAACATACAATAACACACATCTAACCACATACATACATACATACATACACACACACACACACACACACACACACAAAACAGTATTGAAGAAACTTTCACGCTTACTTATGACTACGTTGATGATTTGTATATATATATTTACGTTCCACAAACTTACTTAGGTGAGAAAAGAGAGGAACACACATTAACGTATATTAAAAAAAAAAAAAAAAACCCATCTTGTCAAGAAAACTCAGTTGTTAATAATATATATAGAGAATATTTATGATTAAAAAAATATTAATATATATTTACACACATACTACTGTATTAGTATTTACGATCTTTCAGTTGTGATAATTGTTATGTATGTCTGACTGCTGGGCAGTCTGGGAATTCGTTGAAAACCAGTAGCAGTCAGTTTTCTATAAATTACGATTATTATAAATAAGGAGTTTAATGTAACTTTCGTATTGCGAGATCATTAGCGCTTTGCCGATTCGTCTCCGCGCGGGATGACAAAACAATAACGAACGCAATTACGAATTGGAACAGAAGAGTCGGATTGGCAACGTACTAACTTGTACTGACTCCTGTTAAGTTAGTCCCTCCACCGTACAAAGATATACATCCGCACTTGAAACTACAAAAACTACGTCTCCGTTCTCTTCGAGCACCACTTGATTCGGCGTTTTTGAATATTTTGGCAGAGTGAAGTTGCGCACTTATAAACTATTCAAGATATTTACGTACACGTTCTTTGTAAATAAATTTAAATCAGAAAAAAATCGAAGAAGAAAAAAAAAGATTTGCCGCGCGAGAAAAAAAGAAACTAACAAACGAATGTCAGAATCACACGAAAGAAACGCGAGAGAAGGCGTACGAACGATCGCCTCGCCACTTTTAATTTTCTCGGACAAAATCCGAGTACTTAATCTGTGTTTTAATTGAGCACCTAATTAGTTTCTTTGTAGATGCGAATGTATTTTCATATGGTGAAGGGATAGACTCAACAGACATCTTCTACTGACTTCGACGAGGTCAAAGTAATGTGACTAAAGTCCGACGCAACCGATCTACACATTCCAGCTTTATAATATGGCGAAAAACATGTATATTTACTATAGCCGTCTCGTCGCCGAGTGCGATCACACGCTTAACGAGAGACCGTGTTTTTCGCCAAAAAAAAAAAATAAAATACGACCACGTATGCAGTACAGTAGACTCCCCGATATAAGGCCGTAAGAACGTATCCCCGGTTCTTTCACGTTTACATGTATGTACTTTCAACAAACACTCTTATAGTTTGTCACCTTTTCCCCCACGTTACGTACGCAGGCGCTCTCGCTCGGCATACGCAACTCAACAAATTTCTTCGCACAATCTAGAACAGCGCTGGTCGGCAAGGAGGATGTTTTCGATAAGAACAGACCTTTCTCGATCCCCCCACACAGTTCCCTTCGATACCAAACTTTATATCGGGAGTCCACTGCTTAATTAACTTAAAATCGTCGCGCCAAGGCTGCTCGTTCGGACAGCTTGCTTTCGTGCCGAAAACGTCATTCCGTCTTTACTCAATGAAACGCAGAATGAAACGTAGATGGGACAACGTTTTTAGCGAAAAATAAATTAAAAGAATATAAAAAAGAAAAAACAAAAAACAAGCTATCCAAACGCACAAGGTCTGAGCGTTCGCAACGAGCGACGAGATTGAGACGAGATCCTGCGCGTACCGGAAGCAATTACATTGTTTCCGTGCTTCCACGAACTTTGGCACATCTCAAATGCGATGTATCTCACATCTCAAAACATTAAGACAACGTGCCAAAAAAAAACTTGTATATAATATTATAAAAGTAGAGATTATATATATATATATATACACACATATATATATATATAAATATATAAGAGACGACGGGTTGTCTGATTGAGAGATAATCGTTAACCGGCATTTAATGCGACCGAAGAGAGGAGAGAGAGAGGGGGGAGAAAAAAAAAAGAAAGTAGTGCGATGAGGATGCTTCCCAGTGTCGGGAGTGTATCTTTGGGAAAAGAGAGAACTTTTTTGAATTATGTACGTTGCGTTGTTTTGTGTAAAACATTATGACAAACGACAGCGCGTACCTTTGATACACGTGAGAGAAATCAAAGGGGAAACGAGAAGACCGTTAGTTACGCTTTTAGTACGCGCTGTAAACTTAGTTAATTATTATCTTACCTAGACCTCTTGGATGTCTTCGATTATAAAAGCTGATTATCAAAAAAACAAAAAAAAAAAAAAAAAGAGAAAAAAAAAAGAAAAAAAACAACTTAAACTCCAAGTGCAGCCAAATTCGAACGGAGGCCATCATGCCCGGATGATTGATCGGGCCTCCGAGATCCACACAACCTGCCAACGATGTACAATTTCTTCTAGGCTCATTTGTTCATGTTATATCCGGTGTTTAAGCGACATGAATAATCACATCTGCGGCAGATTGGAAAGAAAACATTTCACATCATTTGTTAATTTTGACCAAAACAAACTATAATAGTATATTTGCTGTTGCCATAAAAAAATAGGAATACAATAAGCTAACGGATCTACATATAATAAATCAATGTATGTGCTACAGCTGTGTGTTTCTTCATTCATAAAATATCGAACACCAAATATCTCCTTACCTGTTTGATTCTTCGTCGTGTTATTTTCGTTGCCGGGTTATCCGAACTCTACGAAGTCGAATTCTGAGCGCGGAATTCCGCTCGCTCCGCGTCGCGCGTCGGCCATGACACTGCCTGTCAAAACGAGATATATATCGAAGCGCGCGATACCTCGATTCTCGAAATATTGAATCGAGGTATCGCGCGCTTCGATACGTAGCACGAGAATCAATCGATAATATTACAGCATTTGTATTTATCGAGTTGGTCATCAAGCGGACTCGATCTTTCATCACTGGTCGTGTACTGTGTAGTTCAACAAAGACGCACAAGACGTGACGCTCTATCGTTTTTTAGCACGTGGCCCCGTGTATTTCACGATAGGTTGTGACCTTATTTTTTCAAAGATTTGGTAATATTTGGAATATACTCAGCGATCACAACAAATAGTCAAAAGATTTATTTCAAAAGTGTGACTTTAATATTGTTTTCTCTCTTTGAGCCATGCCGACCGTAGACAGAGTGTAAGTTGTTCATTTGTAATGTAATACTTTATTTACATTTTATACGATATTTCGACTTGTATTCACATCTTTATCACATTTTTATCGGATAAGTGCGCATTTAGCATATAATTTATATCATATATACATATAGAATATTTAAAAAAATGTTTTTGAACACGTGTTCTCTTTTAGAAAAAAACCAGTCACAAGAAGAGGTAAAAGAGCCATATTGAAAAAAGAGCCTAAATTGGTGGAAGATGCCAAAGAAACTTTGTGCTTCAAAGGCAGACAGACGTCACAGATTGTGGTCGACTTTATGAAGGATTTGGTATAAATTATTGAATTTTGTATGCGTTATGGGAATTTTTTTTCTTTGAGGCACTTCTAAACAAATGTCCTGTTTTTTTTAGTGCGGTCTAAAAAAACCTAACGCGCAAATGATGCAACAAAAAAATGACATACTGCCGTTCGAAGATGTCACACCTATTGAAAAATTTGCATCAAAATACAACGCACCTCTCTTCATAATGGCTTTACACAATAAAAAGCGTCCGCATAATCTCGTGATAGGTCGAATGTACGAAAACACACTGTTGGATATGATGGAATTTGGTGTGGAAAATTACAAGGGATTGAAGGATTTCAAAGTTGAAAAGATAGCGTCGGGATTGAAACCGTTGTTGATTTTCAACGGCGAACTCTTTGAGACCGATTCTAAGTACATCAGAATCAAAAACCTGCTCGTTGATATGTTTCAAAGGGAAACAATCGAGAGAATCAGACTGCAAGGGCTTGAGCACGCTTTAAGTTTCACAGCTGTGGATGATAAAATACTTCTCCGTAGTTACAAGTACGTAATTGATCAAACTCGAGACAAACACAGTTTAGAATTGTCGTAAGATGTCTAATGTTTATTTCTCTGATACAGAATACTTATGAAAAAATCTACCACAAAGATACCTAGGATAGAACTTGAAGAAATCGGACCAAGAGCCGATTTGGTGTGCAGACGCAACAAATTCGCTTCTGAAGACTTGTTCAAACAAGCTTGTAAAAAACCCAAAGAGCTCAAGGTATGTAACAATTAATTTTTTTTACATAAATAATAATTGTACAAATGATTAACAAATATTATGATCTAATAATTCACAATTGTGATTGTAGGAGAGGAAGAAGAAAAATATTTCCACAGATACGCTTGGAACGACATATGGCCAGATACATGTCGGAGCTCAAAATATTGATAACATTCAAACGAGGAAAATGAAAGGTCTGAAAAAAACTTTACCGGAAAAGAAAACTGCACGGAAGAGAAAACCAGACGATGATGATAACGACAGTGCAAAGAAACTCAAAGAAGCTACGGATGGAGAACAAGAATAAAGTCTCGCACTGTTGTAATATACATTTGTATTTTAATGTAATTAATAATTTTTACACTCTATTTCCAACTCCAACTGGAAGTATCGTGCTGGTCCTACGATAAAGCAATCATGTAAAATAAATTATATGTATAAAAAGTTTTCCTCTTAACAATTATAAAACATGAGAGTCTTTTACCTTGACTATAACTCCGCAGATAGACAAACTTTTTCGAGCGTTATCACATTCCTTTAGCAAGACCGTGTCTTTGGGACTTTGCTCGAGTGCTCTCATTCTAACAACTGATCTAAAGTTTATAAAATTGTTAATAATGTCTTCGACTTGTCGGTTTTCCGCCGTTGATACTGTGGATCGCGAGATGCCGAGTTTTGAGAGAAAATTCGAGATATAATTTGAGACCACGGCGATAGCGCCTACGCCGTTATTATCAGGCGCTGTCTACAAAAAAAATATCGGTTTGTCAAAAATGATGAATATCCGTTGATCAGTAGTGTAATAAAAGCTTAAAACTTACGTCGTTTTGATAAAGCATTTTGTTTCCCACCCCAATAAGATTTATAATGGCATGCATCGCCTTCGATGTATCAAAGTCATCTGCCAGTGCTAACGAAACTTCATTTCTTGTATCATGTAAAGTCTGAAATATATTTAAAGTATGATATATATATATAAATTTAAGTTGATAAATTTGTTATACGAAGCAAAACAATTGAAGTTCAGCTTACTGCGAGCAAAATATTTTCATCAATTTTGGCACCTTTAAATCTTCCAGCAATGAAATTATCGCAGTCACTTAAAAAATTATCGAATTTGTTAATCACCGCCACCGCATTTTGCATGACTTTCTCTGAGAATTCAATACCTACAATATGAAAGTCAATTCTTCGTAAACATGAATTTTAAATTACTTGAAATTGAAACGTCAAAGTTTAATATATATGTGTACCATTTCGATAATGGGAAAGAAGGCAAAGCATTCTTAGATGATTTGCCGAGTACTTTTCAAGGTAATCCTGTATGCTTATGGTGTTTTTCAGACTTTTTGACATCTTTATATCTCTCAGAGTCAAGAAGCCGCAATGAAACCAATAATTGACCCATTGATCAATATTGTGATAACAGCACGACTGCGCTTCTTCGTTTTCATGATGCGGAAAAGCCAAATCCATTCCACCACTGTGTATATCTACAGAATTCCCAAAGATTGTGCTGAGAAAAGTATATACTTGACATTTTGATATAACAAAATCTATATTGTATTATATATAAATGCTTACACTTCAATAACTTTACACATAAAAGAAACATTAAATGTTTTTTTTTTTTTCAAATTACCTAGCAATTGCACTGCATTCTATGTGCCATCCTGGTCTGCCACATCCCCATGGACACTTCCAAGATGGCTCATTATCTTTTGCTGTTTTCCACAAAGCAAAATCTAATGGTGATCTTTTTTCTGCATGACTTGACGCAGTGTCCTCAATAGGAACTGTCAGTTTACCATATTTGTCATATTTACTTATATCAAAATAAACAGAGCCTGTCAAATACAATTTGGATAAAAATTTAATGGAAACTGAACAGTTGTGATCGTATCACAAATCCTAATGTTAATAAAAACGCTGTACCAGTTTTCGTAACATAGCCATAACCATTGGCTACAAGCTTCTCAATGAACTGAATGATTTGTGGCACATAATCTGTAACTCTACAGTACAAAAACGGTTCACGAACATTCAGATTACTCATGTCTGTAAAGAATTCAGCTTCAAAGTGTCTCGACAAGTCTCTGAAATCCTTTCCACTTTCGGCGGCACGTTTAATGATCTTGTCGTCAATGTCAGTTATACCCATGACCATCAACACATCTATGTTGAAGTAATCTGACAGAATTCGATGAACAATATCCGATTTTATGTAAGTTCTAAAAAATATTTAAATTTTTTAATAAGTTTCACTTACGTGTGAAACATATTAATATAAATTTATTTAGCGATATTTTCACTCACGTCGCATGACCAATGTGCGCTGAATCGTAGACTGTGGGACCGCACATGTACCATTTCAAGACATTTTCCGTTTGCAAAATTAACGGCACTTTGCATTTTGTCATCGGATTGTACACGGACACTTTGGTCTCGTAACCAACCGGCTTTATCCACCGCGGTCTGTTGTGACACCTCTTCACCTCGGTGTTTACAAATCGTTTGCACAGTCGTCCTAATCTTTTTGTTGCGCATGTCACGTTCATTTTTCCGTTTTATTATTTATTTACAGCCGGTTTAAATTCACAATTTGTACTTGTACATATAATAAATAAAAAATTTCAGGCGAACTCTCTACAACGTTTCGCGCACAAATACACGGAACGGTAAATGAAAACGCTATCTTACCGATCGCTTTTGGTTCTGTTCCGTGCTTTGTGCGCGCGCATCGATACCTCGATACCTCGATTCGCGATACCTCGATTCGCGATACCTCGATTTGCGATACCTCGATTCGCGATACCTCGATTCTCGAAACATTTTGGCGGGCACAGTCATGGCGAACGCGCGACGCGGAGCGCAAGTACACATTCGACTTGCTCTCGTATTTCTCGCGATTATCGCCGTTTCTGCGCGCGAATGTCCGTCGCACTTGTTTATCACAAAGTCTCGGATGTTTGCAGTAACACGTAATTAATACCGCGCACTCGCGCGGTAATCGCAATCGATTTTAGTTTACAGTGAAATTGCGAATCGCGGTCGTTCGCGCTTCCGCGAAGCGCGCCCGAGAAAAAATGGCCGTCGTGCGACGCAAAGCTCTTCGCGTTCGATTTGTCATAGTTTGTCGCGGTTAGTATTGTCTTCCGTGTAATTATTGATATTATGTGCGTGTCGTAATGCGTATCGGGCGTTCGGAGTGACAAGTGAGTGGCATCGCTGAAGACGAAGCTAATTAGTGAGCAGGAAACAAAATGCAGGCGCGTTGCCGGACAATCGCGCAATATTACGAAACAGAATGTCAATCAAGCGAGTAGATCTTCTTAATCTTGTTACATGCTGGTAAAGCGATATGAAATAATTAAAAATTTATAACATGTTTACGCGTGTTTACAGGTGTAAAAGCGAGCCGCGACGCGCGCCAACTGTGAGGATGGTAACTTACGCACAAGAGTGAGTAGTAATTGATTTCTGATAAAAGAGTTGAAAGAAATATATAAAAGCTTGCGCATATAGAAATTTAATCTGTAATTAAATTATAATTATAAATTTAATTTAATTTAAAACAGCTCACAGTTGTAAATGTGAGAATGGAAGAACTTTTTGAAAAGTTAAAATTGCAAATTTTTTACACATCACAAGTAAAATAAAAGGCGCGCGTTATTTTATACAATGTGTATAGCATAAAAACACTTTTACAATAATAATAGTTATTGGCATAGGCAAAATCGTTATTTATTGAAATTTATTGAGCACAATTAGTTCTCCTTATATTTTACACAAGTAAATCTATATTAAAAGTCATTTGAAATTTATGTTTATATATATATATATATAATATATATATATATCTTAAATTATTCTTTACACAAACACTCGTGTATACATATGCGTATGCTCGGTATTGTAATGTATATTTTATATTTAAATTCCATTCTCTGTAATACCCACGATGCATACTAACAATACAATATCAAAGTTTTATATTACACTGGCAATAATTAGATAATTTATAATTATCTGACAAAATACGGAATTTCTCTGATTTTGGCGCACAGCTAACCGCCACTCTCTGTCTTTATTCCACATTATCTCTTTATTATTTAATAATCGCCGCTCACATAAAACACTCGATGCACACACACACACACACACACGCACGCACGCACGCACGCAGTTTAACGCATTAAACCGCATCGGTTTTTGACATTTCGCGCGCCATGTGTATTGTTTCTAAATATTATTCATGTTTGTTAGTCAAGGAATGGGATAATTTCTCAAAATCAATATTTAAAAAGTTGATAAAAAGCACATAAATATATTCGAGTCGCAAAAAAGTCGTACATTTCGTTTTGCTTCAATTTTGCCGTTACACGTTTGGAAACTTATTCATGAATATGTATATTAAGGAAACGATGCGCACGTTGTGCGGAAACGTGAAACATTGATGCGATTTAACGAGTTCGAGTAAATAATTCGACATCGAGTGCGTGAGCGACTTCGCGAAAACTTCTCGCTCTCTATATCGTTTAATAACTTACAAAGTATTTTAAAATTTAGATTACAAATAGAGCTCATCGTCTCGAGCTCACTCGAACATATTCGATCGTTGATCTTATCAAAAGGACAATAATCTCGTCGTTTAAAGTGAACCAGAAAGCTCATATACGTCAGAACACATATATAAATGTGTATATATATATATATATACTATATGTATATATACGAAGGAAGAAAGTTCTATGTACAGAGATTTCTCGTTTTAAGTGCGTTGAAAAGGAGAAATCGTTCGTTTTCTTTATACTAAAGTGCTTCGCAAGAGAAGGCGATAAATCATAAATACAGATATTTTAAAACATTTTGTTTTTCTGATAATGTGAACTTTTATATACAACAGTAATGTGTACAACAGCAAGAGTAGACGACAAGGAAGGGGGAGTTTTTTCTCATATCACTTTGTTTCTCGTAATGTCCTGCATTCTGATGAATGTAAGATTTCTGATTCCTCTAACATCTACATCGTATAGTTTGAGACATTGAGCGAATACAGCGAATTTGTTTAATCGATAGTGCGTTATTATTACTTACTATTTCGGGAGAAAAGTGATCTCAAGATAATAACAATTAGAATTTTACTCGCAAACGAAGTTCAATATCCGCGTTTATAATATATCGCATACGAGTGTGGAAAAAAAAATGCAACGTGAAAATTGCTCGCAAATTATCGTTATTCGAATTTGCTACGCGAGACAACAAAAGAAACAAAACCGCAAGATCTTAATAAACCTCTGAGAAACCTGTCAGAGATTCAAAAACTCTTGCTTCTTTTTTTTTTTTTACATCTTTTTTCTCGCGGATGAACCAGCAAAATTCCTACTGAACTCGCGAACATTGCCGTGACCTTGTAACACGAAAGAAGAATAATTTAGCTAATTAAAACGCAATAATTGTTTATTACAATCTAAAAACCGACGCGTTTCAAGCGACGTTTTCGTTTTTTTTTTTTTGTTTTTTTTTGTTTTTCTCCGATAAAACAAGTCGTGGTCGTTACACTATACAACAACAATATCGAATTCGTTCGAACAACAGTTGCTTTCGCGCAGCAATTGTTTACGAGTTCATCGTCGAATGAGAGTGATGTAAGTCTCTCGATATTGATTTGGCTCATAAAACCAATAGAAGAATGCGAACAAGTGGGGAAAAAAGGTGTGAACGAACGCGATTCTTATATTTTTCCTCAATTACACGCTTTCCTTTCATCATTCTCATTTGTCTCGTGAACTCGTACGCTGGAGAGACGGGCGGAAAATTAAGCAACAAATATAATTCGCTATACTCAACACATTTAAAGTTCTTATTTATTGTAAAATTAGTTTATAGTTGTTTTCAAGAGTATATATATATATATATTACATATAAATCTAAATTAGAATTCAGCTACGCACACTTTCCGAAACAAGTAACAATTTTGATTATTACAAACATATAAATTTCTCGAACAAGACTGTAATTCGACAAACCCTCGAGTGAAAAACAAACCCGTCTCTTTGTTATGGCACTCTATGCGCATGAAATCTGCGCGCGCGCGCGCCTTTCCGTCAGTTTCTTCGAAAGAGTCGCGCGTGACAAAAGGCTCTCGCGAGGATTTTCTTTTACGGTCATCATCATTCGACGTGATCGCTCGGTGTGATGTAAAGCTCTCATATCTCTCTCTCGTTCACTTCTTCACAAGCTTCTCGTGAGACCCAGTCTTGCAAGAATTCCTCACGTCGACGATCGATCGCGATCCTCAGAACGCTTCGCGCGCTTTTGTTTTTCCCCCTTCATTTCTCTATCTTCTCACAATCTTCTGTCTATACTCTGCTCTACCGGGGGTAATAACTCGTCTATAATACGTCGTTCTAAATAAAACGGCCTACTCTAAGTGATACTACACAAGTATGTAGCGGGTAACTATAAGAACCGAAGTGAAAAAGAAGGCATTCTTCCCGTTACCACAACGTTAAAGCTCGTACATCGCGTGTTTTTTTATTTTTTTTTTTATTTTATTTATTTCGAAATATGGCAGCGCTCTGGAAAAGTAGACGGGTCCAAAATGTTTCTAAGATAATTCGGGCGAAGTTGTTCGCTTTGTTTTTTTTTTTTTTTCGCTCGTGTAATAATCCAAATTAACATATCGCTCCGCACACAACGTAAAAGAACTTATTACGAAATCATAAAATGCGGAGCAGATGTTCGTTATTGGAATTTAATCCTGCACTTCTTTTTGTTGCGTGCGTTTCTCATCAGTAGTAATAAGTAACAAAAAACAAACTCGGTTATCGCAAAGAGATTTCCAATATCAGTGATTTACGTGATTTTTCCCCGAGGTAAATTGCGACTCTCCTTTAAACCGTCTACTTTTTACAGAATATACATAACATATATGACATATTCTGTGTATATGTACTTGACTATAATAACTTAGTTAATATAATAACTTAGTTAATACAAACTTAATTAATCGCTCGAGAAAATTGTCGTATACTCAAAGGATTTTCGGTTTGTAAAAATTTTGGAATTATCTTTTCGAACACACACGTTTTGTTTTCGAAAATGAAAACAATTTGATATATAGAAATATTTTTGTATTCCTTATGTAAAAAACTCTTTATCAAATCTTATGGTTTTTTGTATTCGAGAATTTTGTAAATAACGCAATAACAATCGGAAACGAGACGATCGGGGAAGTTGTTTATTATTCAAACAATCGCTTATGTGTGTGTTGTATGTAAATTGACTCGCGGTTAAATGTCGCGAACAAAACGAAATTTCTTCTGTGACAACACTCTACCGTTGTAGAGAGAACGTGTCGAAATTACACGAAAAACAACAATCGCGCGCGCGACTTTATTTCTATACCAATCACACTAAATCGTTTCGTTCGCAAATTCACCGACTGTTTCTTTGATTTACACGCAGAGGCGTTGCGCAAGTCGTTATTTCGATTTTCAACTCGCAATTACGCGCACTCGTTGAAATTAAGCGTCGAATATATCAAAGTATATACATATATATATATATATATATATATATATATATATATATTTGCGAGATTGAAATTTGATACTTTCCGTTTAATAATACACGGTCAAAAGGCTATGTGCCGCGCGGATTTTCGTTTGTGTCGTCACAATGGTTCGCGATATCGACGTGTCATACAGAATAAAGCGAGCATAAATACCCTTGAGATATTAACATTAATTCCGGCGTAATATCAGCATCGCATATCTCTTCTCTGTTATTTGGGAATTGAAAAATAACAACAACAACATTGAGTGCCGTGAATATTACGAGTTGAAAAAAAAAAAAAATGAAGAGAGATCCACCGTTCTCCGTAGCGCCGAAACAATTTGCATCTTCCCTATTGTGATAATTATTGCGAAACACTATCTCTCGATAAGGTAAAATCCTCTCGAATTTTCGATTTCGACCGGGAACGGGAACGGGTTAGACGCTATTTCGAATTCGAAACAACAACGCTTGCACGTACGTATGCACGCTTCGGATTTTACGGACGGCTGAAAAACGGTTCAATCCATTCTCCGGCTCCGACCAACCGCTATCACAAATCATTCGGTTAAGCGCATAATCTCCTAATATTGTATACATATATATACTCCGCGCGATTTCATTAATTACTTTCATCGTCGAACGAATCCTCTATTTAACACTCGTAGTCTAACAAATTTTTTTTTCTATTACCGGCTGATGGGGGGCCGCGACACGTCTCCTTCTCGAAGAACACCTCGCTTAACAACACTTTACGTGTGTGAGTGTATGTGTGTGTGTGTGTGTGTGTATGTGTGCGGATCGATGTGTAGATTTTTTTGTTTTCTTTCTCGAACGAGGGATGGGTACATTAAGAGACGTTCAGGAGCGAAATGGAATCGTGAGTTACGACGCAGCTTGCTGGAATCATGTCGTTGGCGCGTTCGAGGAAGGCGGCGCGTCGGTACGCCAGATTGAGCTGCCCGAATGGCTGATCGTGGGGATCTAGGGAAAGAGAGAGAGAGAGATATTGATCGCAGTTAGAATCGCGACTAATACATTACAGCAAACGATAAAATTACATTCTCCCCTTTCTCTCTCCGCGCACAATTACAAATAATTGATCGCTTTTCCGACTTCGTGCTACGATTATATTATTCAGCTACATGGTCAAAATATAATTTGACAGTGACTTATGTTTCAACGCAAATAATCACATTATCGGAATTTTGAATAGAAAAGACTTTCGGTTTAATTTATAGATAAGTTAGATCGTTGAAATTTTAATCACATTTTCGCAGTTTTTTTTAAATTGAAAATGATTTTTCTCTCGGTAGTTGATCGTTTCTCCAGTTAAAAGAAAAACTTTTTTGATTTTTTCGTTTCTCAATTTGTCAATCTCGTCAGGAAAAATATCGTATCTCCCGAATTATTTAATGAGAAATAATAATACGCATTATCAGATATGCTTATGCCGGAGCAAAGCAATTCTCGTTATTCTTGTTCTATATATATGTATGTACCTTATTGTCGTGTCCAATCAATGGCGTTTCCGCCGTAGTTTCGTCGCTGGGACGATTCATGTACGGGTGCGGGGGTGGCACGTAAATCGGTTTAGAATGACTGGCGACTTGCGCGTAAATCGTCGGCTCCTGGATCGGCTGTCTGCGCGTCAAGGTAGACATGGGCAGCAGCTGGGGCCGCTGGATGCTCGAGATTTGTACGGGCTGGTAGCAGTTCGGGGGTATTCGCCGGTTTCCCCGATTCAGCGTTAATTCGGCGTACGTTAACTCGGACACCTGCTAAGAGCAATATTACTTTCTGAATTTGTAAGACACGCGTTTGCGCGCGCGTCCGGCAAAATTAATCACTTCCTATTTTCAGTCAAATAAGAACGGGAAAAAATATCTCTTTTATATAAAATTATTTTTTACATTAATTTTTTCGATATAAAATAACAAGAATCAAATCACATATATAAGATAACAAACTAAAATTATAGAATGTATTAAAAAAAAAGCAAAGAGAAAGACGTTCGCGGCCAAAAACTGATCAGAGAGATATTTTGGCCGAAGAGAGAGATTTGCTTACGCGAGAATGAATTTCTAATTACGAAGGATTTAACTATTTTTAGATACGTCGAGAGTTTAACCAGAAATTACACAATGATCTGATGTGAGAACTTACGTTATTCGCCGCCACAAAAGTACTCGTGTCCGGACGTGACTGTTGCAGCACGTATCGTGGCGATGTTCCTTTGCACAGTTCTGCGTACGAGTTCTCTGCAACAGAGCGCGGAGGATCGATTGTCGTTTATCGCCTCTAGTTTGTTAGAAACTAAAACTCGGCGTTGTAAAAAGAGACATTCGTATATTCCTAAACAATTTATCCGTTAATTACTTTTATTTTTCGTAAAATCTCGCAGCAAAAACTGCTGCTTTCAATCGATTAAAAAAAAAAATAAAAAATAAAAAATCAAACCGAATCTCGACCGGAGAGAATTTTGTTCGGTTAATAGGCGAAAGATTTGCGAGAGACGATTTGTCCTTGCTACGGTGAGACACGCGCTTATATATACGCGCTTATCGCACAATCCACGGATAAACGGGATCAAGGAGCATGCTGCGATGTCGGGGAGTGACAGGTTCTCTCGCTTACCGTTCGCGTGCGGTATTATGTCGGGATTCTTCTCGAAGCTCTCGATGCTATCGGTGCTGAGGGGCAAGGTCGACGATTTGTCACGCGGGGACGAGGCGCCGGTACCCGACGCCGCCAGATTTGCCATGCCGCCGTCGTCGTGAGAGTCCTCCTGAGATCGGGGTCGATAGCGCAGCTTGACAGCGAGAACGATCACGAAGATCACGAGCAGCAGCCCCGCCGTGGCGCCGACCACGGCGCCCAGCAGCGGGCCCGACAGTGACAGCATAACCGGCGTCAGGGCTGCAAATTGTATTCAATTGTTTCTGGTGCGTTTGGCCGATGAAAGGGGTGAGGAACAATAGCTGGACAGCCAGGCCGAATTTCAGGCTTGGGAGAAAAGCGACGTAATTTCTCGCGATGACAGCGTTTATTGTCTTGCGAAAAGCGCGGAGAAAAATCATAAAAGTCAAAATATTCTTCAAAGTCAATTATCTCTCTCTCTCTCTCCACGAAAAAACTTTTCTCGAATGTTGAATCGATTGTTGCATTTCCGATCCGTAAAACGGCTTCCGATTTGTATCGCGCGTTCATTCCGCCGGGCTTTACTTACAACTCGACTACTTCGATCGGTCGAGGAAAACGAGACGATTTTTTTTCGCGAGATCGGTGTTGTTATTTGTGATTTCTCTTGAAAGAGGCTGTATATTTCGCGAATTATCTGATTTATAAGTTGATATGATAGGAATTATGATTATTAAATTCACGGTAACACGTTGACGCGATCTAAATGAGAGAGAAAAATTTATGTATGCGCGCGCTTTGCGTGCACCGAGAATATTCATAAACGTATGGCGTGCGCAAAGCAAACGCGGATTATGACAATAATTGTGACTAACGCACGCGCGCTCGAAGAAATATCTTTCGCGTTCGAGACTGATTAAGAAAAAAATCTCACACCTGAAGGCAATAAAAAACAACACAACAAAAAAAAAGTTAATCGACAACACCAAACTAAATGAACCTGTTTTCGCTTCGTGTTTTTAACGAAGGAAAGCTAAATCGGGAGAATCTTAAAAATATCGCAATTAAAATTCACGGAAAGTGTAGCTTGCAACATAAATTTTTTTTCGAAAGCAAAGACACATCGTGCAGACACAGCGTTTTCCAGAAGCATTGTGATGATACGAACTAGGTGCATGCGTCAGTGTGCGTGTGCGTGTGTGTGTGTGTATGTATGTATGTATGTGTGTGTACGCGCAATGTGCAGCATGGCTCGTAAAAATGCTCGTAAAAAATGCGCACGTATAACGTTTCTCTTAGCTGCAACGCGATCGTAAAAGCAGTAGCTTCGTTTGTATCTCAATGGCAGTCCCGAGGGTTTATCAACGACCCGGTCGATTACGGGACGCAATGAAAATTTATAACGCGCTCTTCGCAGCTTAGAGATGGCCTGATTACTGCGGCTACTGTTCCTTGCTTGTTAAAATCCGCGACCACATTAAAATCCAGAGACCGGAACGTTGTTGAAAATAAACCGAAACGTTCTTGAATTCGCATGAAATTCGAAGTAAGATTAACTCGCTTCGATCTGTTCGGAATTTTATTGGAATATTTTGCTCCCAAGTCAAATCTTTACTTTTCGACTTACAGAGAGATTCCAAAAGCGTTGTAAAAAGAATTATTCCAATTAACAGACAGATATTTCGTTCGCTCGACTGAAAGAAATTCGCGCGACTGCGATCTCGCGCGTCGTGTTTTTTCATCCAAATCCATGCGCGCGCGCGTGTATCAGTTCCACGGTCGGAGATTCTTCGTCATCGAAAAATAATCACTCCTCCCGCGGTCGCCGACTGTTTACGCAGATCATAGATCATACTTGGCGCATTAGCAATGAATTTGGGATTCAAATGCACTCGGGTTTCCGAACTGCTGGCGAGGTATTCAAGTTCGGGTATAATCAAAACCCACTTATATTCGCGAACTCTGTTAAATCAATGTCTCTCCCGTTGGCGCGTTCCCCGCCGCTTTTCCTCCGTTCTCTTAAGGTGATATTAAGGATGCGTCAGCATCAAACTAAGCTAATGACGATTTGAATTCATGCACTTCTGCACTACGCGCGTCGAGAATGTATTTCATCTAAATGAGGCAAATGACCGGGACGCATTTATCAGAGAAATAATTAATAATTATTAAAGACATAATTAGTAAAGATATTAATCGTAGCAATTCTTTGTGTGTGTTTTTTTAAAAGTATTTTTTAAGCTATTGTTAATTTCTAACTTTAGATAAATTGTAATTATGATTAATTTCTTTAATAATAAATGTCCGACCAATGGCACTTGTCATTGAGGCATTTCCTTCGTACGTAGCGAATTTCGGTGTATCTTTTAGTCACTTGCATTATTTTTCGATAAATGTTTTTTTGTTTTATAATCGGACACAATTCTCAGAGAAGATAATAAACGATTTGTATATTTTTGTTAAATGAGAGATAAATGAACGCGGGATGTTAAATGAATAGTCGTCTTTTTTTCGAGTTATTGTTTTAAATTACTTCAAATTGAATCTTCTCCCCGGATTTCTCTGCCAGACCGCCTTTACGTAATATAATATAATAGATGTGTGTGAATAATGTGAACAAATCTTTGGTGCATGACTCGAGCTCTCTTCGCGCAATATAACGTCGCGTTTTGTTGTACTCGTCACTGCGTGCGTGCCAGCTTTATTGTCTTTGAACTAAAGCTGCTTTCGGGTGACCTTATCCATTAATTTACAAAAGATTAATTGAAAGCGTTGTTCCTGAAACTTCCTCGTGTTACACGCTAGCGTTGCCTCGCCCCAGAATTTACCTCATTCGGGAAGCTTAAGATTATTTGGCGTAGCATCCTGTGTGTGCGTGCGATGCCCAGCGTCGTGATCTCCCCAGCGGGAGAAGTTGCAAGCAAATAAAGGATCAATAAGTCGCGTAAATGCGCTTAGAGAAGTATCATTATAAACTACAAGATGCAAAATACAATATCGTAACTCTTTTCGAAAATATTAAAAACAAATAATCTAGTACTGGTTTTATGTATACGCATATTTTATTTGACGCGTCTCAAATAAATTTACATAAACCAGTATTGGTTGAAGGATTGAAAATATAAAGAAAGTTTTTTTTACAACACGCACGTTCGTAGGTGACAAAATGTCGCGAGTTTTGTTTTTTGCGGAACGAAATACCGCGAAATTGCACACAGACAGTAAATGTGCGGCGAACAGCGTTACGTCTCATCTTAATAAATCGAATATATGAACAATCGAGTAATGCAAATTGCGCGCGGTTGCAAATCCAATTTCCGTATTTGACGTATCCATTTAAGGATTTCGATAACATTTCTCTCAGCCGCTTCAAGTGCACGTACATTATCGCTGACGATCTCGACAAACTGGAAGATCAAGTCTGGCCGCAGAGCAATTTTGGATGAATGCCCGTCGACCGGGTTTACACGCACAAGCGGTCGCCTTAGTGGCGTTCCCTTGGAAACACACAAGTTCCACACATCCGACAGTTGGCCTTGTCTCTGGTAACGCGCTAACTATTTACAGGATGCGTCGGGGACGGGACGACTTCCGTTGCGAGTGCATCAGCAACTAAAGTCCTCGATTTGCGTTGCTCGTCTTTACAACGTCGTGTTACGTTCGTTGCGCGCATCAAATCGGCGACAAAAATATATAACACGATAGCGCCGGACAACTTCGTGTAATAAAGAGCCGTGCGCGCTTTGTACGTCTTCAATTAAATGTCAAACACATTTCACATCGGACGAGAAAAATTGCAAGTAATTAACACATGCAAGTGCGTCAGCAGAACTTTTTATGTGCGACACAAACATACATTGGATCATGTATATTTTATTTATTAACACTGTTTAAATACGAGTGATAGAAGACAAAACTCATCGAAAACACATACAATTGCGTGCAAAGAAAATGTGCGAGTAGCAATTAAAGAAACGAAACGTCTAAGCTGCGGCAAGACACGAATCGATGAAATAATTTAAAAAATCGCAACGACGACGGCGAAGCGTTCAACGCGCGAATCCGACACATGCAGGAACCGATCGTATCGTACGAAACGATATGACGATATTTCGCAAGTCGATCGCGAGATTCCCCGGTGATTGCCCCTTTAATTTGACGGTTCCTCGATGGATGAGAAGAAAAAAAATTTTGCAGCAAAGTAAATATGCAGATTTTGAGATACTTCGTGATGAACTTGCCAAAGCGTTCGACACGTCTCTCTCTCTCTCTCTCTCTCTTTCTCTTTTAGTTCAATTTCCGCTGATTGAACAATTTTTATCACAAACGAGTCGTGCGGACTGTTATAACAACTTAGATGGGAACAGTTTTATCATATATCGCCGTAAATATTCGCGCCGATTCAAACGCGCAGACGTGACAAAAAGAATCTCGTATCGATTGATATTTTGAAAAATAACAAGTTTCGAACAACAAAGATAAAAGTTTCTACAATTAGAATCTAGTTTTATAAAGAAAGACACAGAGAAAGAAGAGAGAAAGAGAGAGAATTGGCAGATTTAACGGCAGTTTGAGTTTGTTATAAGGAAATAAGAATCTGCGCGTTTCTGAAAAACTGAGAAAAGACGAGCTAGCTCCCAGAAATACGACATTTCAATTCTACGGTTAAAGAAGAGAGTTGAAGAAACAAAAAACAAGATACGTAATAAAATAAAAAAGAAGAAATATCATCACACACACACAAATACTTAAGGAGATACGAGCAATCATAAATCAGATCAAGATCTACTCGGGTCGCCGCAAAAATATACACAGCAACGACAAAAAACAGAAAAACTCGCACAAACAAATCATCTGATTTTGTGGACTAAATCGCGTCTCGCGCAGGACTGCGGTAATGTGCTTTCAAACGCGGAATGAGGAAAGTAAACATAAATATTCAGTGTATCGGCGACGAACACGCTGTTCTCGTTCGAGTCGTCCGTTTCCACCAGGAGAGCTCGCGATCAAACAGTCTCCCCCTCCCGAGATCATCTTCAAGCCCGAGCGGTGAGAATCGACACAATCGATCCTCGTGGCTCGTCCAACAACGATGTCGCTCATCGGCGCCGCTAATTCCTCGCACGAATAGCACCATCCGATGTTTGTCGGGGATAACAAGAGGCAATGGTCGGTAGGTGAGGGGCGGAGGGAAGCTGGTAGAATCGCAAGAGGTGGTTGGGGATAGTTGGCGGGACGAGATCCATTGTTTATCTGCACCCTACCTGGGTAATGTTGGTGCTCCGAGGTATTACCCTCCTGTACAAAATGCGGACTGTGGATGACCGTGGCGTCGCTCATCGCGTGCGCCGTCATGATCCTGAGGGACAGCACCAGACCCGACTGGCTCCTCTCGGTTGGCAGATTCGTCACCTCGAGCATGCTCGGCGTCAGGCTGGTCGCGGACGCCAGCAACCGCCTGGTGTTGGCGTCAAAGACCTGCAGCACGTAGGTGGCGGTGTTCGCGTCGAAGTACTCGCTCTCGGCGCAGCTGACACGCACGGTCGTCCGGCTCTCCTCACGGATCGTGCAATTCTCCGGCGAGGGTGGTTGCGCCAGCCTCTCACCTGCTACCGGAAGTGGTCACAACACACCAGGCCTCAGCCTTCGTCGTAAACTGACTCGAGGGGTGGGCGCGTACAAGGTACGACGGTTTTTGAGGGGAAGGGAGAGTTTGATGAAGGTGGTTTGATGAATCTGGCAACTCCGCGAGGGCTGTGTGTTCGTTTTGCAAACAAGAGAAACGTATCCGTCGTTAAAACGACGGGCAAATGGGATGACGAGTAATTAAATGCAATGCATGTTGAATGGTTGAATGGCGTTACAGACCGAATCGCGTTATCCGCTAGGCTTGTTTCGAGTACTGAAGTTTGGGATAATCGACGAGCTCGTGTCATGTTCTGATTAGAGAGGAACTTGATCGAATACAAAGCTGCGTTGGGTGTACAAATGTTCTCTGATTACTGTCTCTGAAAACGCGAAACTGTTAGAGCTAGAGAGATAGCGTGTGTAGAATGTCTGAGAAATTGAAAAGGTTTTTTACTGATGAAAGATATTTATTAGCGAACGGACCGGTTCATCGATCGCGGACGCGCGTGCTCCTAGCGCGTTCCGCGGTTCTCATCGGGGAATCATCGAGTCATGCGTATTTAAATGAGGCGTAATCACTCGTAGATGATATCTCGCTCGCCGCGATAATGGCGCGTTCCCTCGCGAGTTTGATGGCGCGCGCGCGCGATCTCCTCGAGAGAGCCTCGATCACACACGGCGATGGATTTCCGTGAAATGTGCCAATCGTTCGTCACGCTGCGCGCACCGACGTATTTTAATGCAAAACGTCAAAACGCAATCGATACCTGCCAGTCATCGAGCGAGACGTACACCCGATCCGCGCATATATTTTTGTCATTTTTATCGTCTCGAAAGCTGCCACTCGCGCGCTAACTTTTAACGCGGACCGTAGTTTTTATAATGCACGAACACACGAGGTTGTATCTTTTTCGAAGGGAAGTCAAAACAGCTGCCGCAATTTTACAATTCGGGTTTTTTTTATCAATATCAGAAAAGAGAAAGACAGAAAAAGAAAAATACAATTGAAACGTCTATCGTTTTTTTGATGTAACGCACATTTGAATAACATTTTTACTGCGAACATGTCGCTGCGAATTCGTGCGGCGGAATTTGTTCGCAAAGCTCGATCGAACGTTTCGCGGGAACATCTTACGTACGGAGAACAGAAATCGAAATCCTTCGAACACCGATTTTTTTTCTCGCCTCCTCTCTCTCCTCCCCCTCAAGAGAACAGCAGCATATCGCCGAGTCTTGTTAGCGCGGACGGTGTGGTACGAGGGGGAGGAGAGGGGAAGGTCCGGATATAAATTGAACGAGCGTAGCGTAAGGAACGGCGATTTGTAACGAAGGAGAGGGCCAAGAGCAGCTGACGCGAAATACGAAAGCCTTTTATAGTCTGGTTTACCCTATCTCGACCTAGTGCGCGGCCCGGCCGCAGTAGAGCGGATAAACGACGACGCCGACGGGTTCCGCAGTCCACCACCTATTAGCCGCGCATTATTAACGCGCGTAACGCCGCTTAACGTCCGTCTACGTGCATACCCACGGGTTAATCGTGAGCAATTAGTTAGAAGAATGTGCCAGAATGGCCCCCGGAGGTCGCTAAATTGGACCGAGAGAAATTGGTTTAACGGAATTTACCAAGATACCGTTTGAAAACGTGTTTCGCGCGGCGATCAAATTGAAAAAATCGCACGGATTGTTTTTTTTTTTTTCGATACGCGCGTTTTGAGAAAAACGAAAGAGGGAGATGAACGTGGGAAATTTTAAACCGATTTAAATATTTTAAAGAATGAATATTAAAAAGAATACATTGCCAAAGAGGATGCTCGAGAAAACAACTTTTTGTTAATGGAGAAAGAAAAAAATACGATTGTTGAAACGACGAGCGATCATGCGCCGACGTGGAAGTGGTGCGCGTCTAAATCACATATTTCGCAGTTTGTTACGTTTGCGCTACGAGAGATCTCGGTGCATTTTTTTTTTCTACACGAACACTCTACCGCGGATTACAGAGTTTGACATAACATAACGTGTGCTTGATCGAAGTGAAAAAAAAGATAATACCGTTTGAAATAACCGCGGATTTCGAACGAATCCAATATCATCGTAACTCGCAAAAAAAAAATGTATTCTCTCCGAACGCGCGTTGTGCTCTTTACGGGAAAAATTTCACATGATGTATTTCAGATATGTATTATCAAAACTTCGTACCGAAGTATTCGTAGAAAAATTTGGAAACGCCATACCGCGTCGGGATGGTGTTTCGATCGCGAAAAAAAACGACGTGTTTACGTGTTGCCGCTATAATTAAATGTGCGATAATTCGGTTATTTCATAAAAAAAAAAATAATAATAATTTCAAACGTCTCTCGAAATTAAAATCATTCATAATCTTTTTTTATCAAGTTCAATCGCAAAAATAAAAGATTGTTTTAATAAATTGTATATGCAGCGAATCAACAACAATTCAAAGTTCAATAATTGTGGTATAAAGTTTGCAAACTTGTTCTCACAATTTTCAGTTAATTACGCTATTCGCCAAATCGCTAAGTCCGATTGTTCCCCGTTTGTGAAGCCGCGAGTTGAATTTCCGCGAGGAAAGGGAGATGAAATCAAATTCCACGACAAACTTACAGGGCGATTCAAACTTCGCGAGTGCACACTCCCCCCCTGCGCACTTATGTTTTTGGTTTCGAACTCGGGGGCATTTAATGAGGGAACATCCAGTGTAAACCGCTTGGACGAGAGATCTCAAGTGCAAATCAACGCGCAGATGCGCGCACGTTGATATTACGTAACGTTAATACGCACCCGTGAGTTTTCATACATATATATATATATATATTATATATATATATATATATATATACGCGAGCCGCCACTCAAAAAGCCGCCGAAATCGAGTTACGATGTTATTGCACGAGAGAGAATTAACATGTTTACACGAGCTCTACGATGCAAGGCCGTGCAGCGTAGCGAACAGTGCTGAAAGTATTAGATCGATTCATAAGTAATATCCGCCCGACGATGCTTCTTTCTTTACAGTCCCGTTTGATAGTTCCGATGTGCATTTTATGTGTCACGCGGCTCGCACCGCAGAGTTGCGGCGAGATCATACACACAGGTCGGGGGATTGTCGGTTACGGTTATTTGATGCGGTCGAATCGTTTGACGCGAACTGAAATTTCATTATCACGCCGAAGGCCGAGAGAATTTTCTGTTAATTTCTCAAAAATAACGCGCGCGCAAAAAACTTACTAGATAAATGTTTGAAATCCTACGAGCGTTTTATTAGAAGGTAAATATGATAAAAATCCAAAACCGCGCGTGAAAAACTCGTTGGTGATACTTGAGTTTTGGCGAAACTTTCATCAAATTTTGCGCGTAAATATTTTAGAAAGATTAGTTGATATTTTCGTCGCTATTTCGGTCACGCAAAAAAAAAAAAAAACTAACACCTGTAAAACTTCCAAGCATCGCTCGAGATTTACTTATGAATCGTCCGTGACGTGTGTATCGTGAGACGTGGAATTGATCGCGAATCGACTCGTCGTCGATCATTGTCAGCCCTCGCTCGGGGAGGGCCGATCTTCCGACCCGGACGACTCACCTGTTCGTCTCTCAGGGAGATTTAGGGTGGTGGCGCGAAATCGCACGGTCTCGCTGCGACCTTTGGCGTTGGTGGAGTAAATGAAGACCTCGTAGGTGGTGCCGGGATCCAAATTGCTGACGGAGAAGATCGGCACCTTGTTGGTCTGATTGTAAACGGTGGCGCCGGCCTTGCCGGATCCTGGCTCGCGATTCACCTGCATGGTGAATTTCTGTGGCATGCCGCCGTCGAAGCCCTCGATGCACTCCACGTAAATCGAATCGGTCGTTTGATTCAGCAAGGAGCAGTTGTGCGGCGTATCCGGCCGACCTGTTGGATTTCGCGCGCGATCAACTTCGATATTGGATGATAATTAACGGGCATAAACGAATGCTTAATTGGCAAATTTCGTGGCGTATTTCCCTTCCCCTCCTCCGGGTGTTACTTTATGGAGGAGAACATATATATCCGGGCGTGAGATTGGATATCGAAATTGTGCGTCGAACACGCGTCGGTGGAAATTGTTGGCTAATTAAATCAATTACACGTCTGGCTTAAAGATGAAATTAATTTAAAATCGAATCGTTTATTTTCGATTGTGTAAACTTTTGATTTGAATTATTTGTACTGCGCGTTCGTGAGCGTGTGTACAGATTTGCGAATTCAATAGTGACGCGCGGATCGTTTAAATGTGAAAGATGGCCGCGAAAATGATATAAAACGATTCGACGCCGCGTTAAGTTTCAAAGACATGCTGACAAACGCAAGTTGTTCCCATACGTGCTTTAACTTCCGAGATTTAATCACCTGCTTTCAGAAGGTTGAGCAGCTTTCGGTCGGGTTTTCGTTTCTGCGTGTTCCCCGAGAGAAACTACTACTCTGGCAATCAAATCGAAATGTGCCTTTTACGCAATCGTTCGTTTTAACGGCCGGTTTTTATTACTGCGTTCCATTAGTTCTCACGGCATCAAACGCGAAGATAAAACGCGTTTGTCACGTATCGCCTGCGTTTTCACGAGGTTTACGAACGGGGACGGGACACAAGATCTTCGAATCGCGGAGAAAACAGATTCTTCCCGATTACAACGCGTAAAAATGTATTCGCGCTCGAATTTTGTCAAGCGATATAAAAAAGGAACGTGCGATCATTTTTTTTTCCTCGATATTTTTCCGACGAAGGATAGTTCGTTCGTAAAAACCGTGTGGCGCGCACAAACCCACCAACGTAAAGTATAAATTTTAGAACGCAACATTGTGTAACATTAGCGAGATATACCGGCGCATTAAAATGTAGTTGCGGGAAATCGGACACCCACACGGGACATTGAAAAAAAAAAAGAAAAAAAAAACAAAGAAAAATACGGCGACGCGATAAAAGTTGCGCGATGATATTTTTCCAATATTTTTCGCGGGCGCGTATAGATACGAAGGCGCTTCTTCTGTTAAACTGTTTAGAATGCGATGCCACGTGATTGATGTTTGAGACAGACACGATGTTTAATTCGCGCGCTATGCGATTTCAAAGAACTAAAATCAATAATATGTGATATTTATCACAAAACAAAAACAAAAAAACATATAAAATAAAAACAAATTATTTGTCAACATACATCACTTAAAAGAGAAAAAGTAATACACAAAAAAAAATATTATACCGCTTTATTTTCTACGACGCGTTTTGCATACACGTGATGTGTTTTTCCGCAATTATGATAACAGTGACACGCAAATGATAAACACATGAGTGCGTTATCTCAACCGACTAGTTTACACCGCCGCGGTTTTTATATTATTTTATATATTTTTTTAAGTCGACACTTTTGTTTTCGCGATATTTGTCGGCACAAAGTAAAATAACATTGAAATTAGTATCTTTTCATGCGGAAAACTCGCGGAGAACTTAAGTAACCAAGTGGAACTGTTTGAAAAATATATCGTTGACTCGCTTAAGCGATTTCGTTGAATTCTTCCCTATTCGTTCATGTATATCGCAGGTTTCGTCGCGAGTGGCCGATAAATTTAATAATAAAAAAAAAAAAAAAAACGCACGCGGACCGTAGGGCGCGTTGCATTTATAATTCACCGAATGCCGGATGGCGGTGCTTCGCGGCGACGACAGAAAGAGTAAATGGTATCGAATCTATTGAATGCAGTTTTCAAGAGCGCCGAAATGGCGCAACATTCGTCTGGCAAAATCGATTGCCGTTTTCTAAAAAGTTACATCGTACAGTTGCGCCGTCGCCGAAAAGACTCGTTTATCTTTGTTTCGCGTTATTTATTCACCCGGCGCTGGGTAATGATATATAAATGACTGTGAGGTAACACACAAAAACATTTATTATAAACATTATACGGATGTCATAATGCATATATTAAATTGCGTTACACAATTTACATTTGCGTGTCGTCCTCGGTATAAAAATTCAAATGCGACGGCACACGCGCAATTACAATTTAATACGGGGGAAGCGTCCCCGTTCGATTACATTATTTAATTACGCTTTAAACATCTGCATATGATAAATTTTTGCGAGATTATTAATTATACTATAATTGGCTTCAAAATATGTTAATTAGGAATTTAAAATACATGTGTAATATATTTAATTCAACATTTAAATATTATATTTTCATTATAAATTTTATCCAACATTTAGCTCGACATTTCCGCGCGGAAAAGTCTATTAGATCAAGTACGTAACGCATTTAAAACGTTCTTATTTAGGAATAAGTAATAAAGTAGAACTCTAAAACATTCAATATGTAAATGCATTTTCGAGAGAGTTCTCAAAGAGAAATCGTCGCAGAGATATTTCTCAACAAATAACGCAATTAAAATAAGAAAAATGCAAGTATTTCGACGCAAACGTACTTTTTTTCAATGAAAAAAATTAATCCTCGTAGTATTTAAATCAACAAATGTGTACACACATCTCCCGATTTGTTAGCAAGTCGGAAATAGGATTCGAGACAATTTTCTTCTCCGTTTTCTTCTTTTCGAATTGAGATGTTGCACGTTTCGTTGGGCAAAAATTGTCTGAGATAAAACGCGTCTCAGTTTATAGGCTAAACTCACTCACCGGCAGGCACGATATGGTAAACGCAGGGCTCGAGCTGAGTGCCCTGGTCGTTGCTGCCCCAGCAAAGGAGGCTGCCGTAATCCAGCTCGGTCATCGGTGTGTAGGAGGCTATCGAGCGTGTATGCTCGCTCGTGACGTGCGCCTGAGGTATGTCCACCGCCTCCATTGTATTATTGAATTTCCAGGTGAACGATACTTCCGGCGGGTTCGCCTCCAGCTCGCAGGGGATGTTCGCGGTCTCCTGCCGCGCCACGCCGAATACCTTGGTCTGACCGTGTTGGCATACCGGCACAACTGGAAATGTAAATGTTGGTTTGCGCGGTTTTGAGAATATAAGCCTCGCGTATCATCCGCTGTTTTGTGAATATACGAATGTACACGCGGGCGCGGCCAAACACATCATCCGACACCCAAAACACTCCCGTTACGGGCTGTTTGTTTTGTGACGTGCGCGCGGCCTCGCGTTGCTCCAATTATCGAAGTTTAATAATTTGAAAGGGTGAAGAGAGTGGAGGTGAGATGGGAAAGGGGCGTGTAATCTATATGTACGTGAAATTTCCCGCGATGTTGTCTTTTCATCGCGGCTTCGTTCGTGACAATAAAACTGCGATGGTCGGGACGGGAGGTTCTCAACACAACTGAAGTTCAATAACCGCCTGTAATAAAAGGGGGATATCTGAGACGAGTTCAGAATCTTGAACTCGAAGATACTTGATTACACATCCGATTGATTAGTGATTTCCAATATATATATATATATATATATACACACACATATATATACATCGGGGACACACAATATCGTGTTATTTCCGTGAGGTACGTTTCGTGTTCCTCGGTTATGCGCGTCTCCACAACACGATCTTTCATCGGCGGTTTATCGAGAAATGATCGACATGTGAAATCTGATATTTCGCCGGCGGCTAACGCGATTATTAAGCACTATCCGTAATTAAGCATTAACGATGGAATTCATGTCCGTGCGCCATTCCCGAGTTTCGTGTCAACCTCAGTCGACACGGTATCTGATATCGCCGTAATATACATAATACGCAATATACATGTATATATCCTGTAATCTACATATCGCAACAGTGCACCATTAGTAGAGCATGTCTTCATTGTTCAGACATCGGAGCAAAGGGGGAAGGGGGCAGAGGGAAGAGAGAAGGAAGAAACATTCGCGTATGTTCGCGAACGCGACGACGGTTTTCCTCCCCATTATATTCTCCGCTGGGAAATACGTCGTTGTACAATTCATAGCTAACTGGAAGTACATCGTTATCCACTCGGTAAGAAAGTAAGCCTCTACGAGGCGATTCTTTATGCTTCGTGTAAGAAAGAAGAGAATGTAAAGACAGAGGCCACTCTCTCTTTCTCTCTCTCTCTTTCTCTCTCTCTCTTCACGAGGCCACTCTCTCTTTTTTCTTTCTCTTTCTCTCTCCACGAGGCCACTCTCTCTCTTTTTTCTCTCTCTCTTTCTACTTTGCAAAATATTCTTCAAACGAAGAAACTGCATATATTTAAGACAATTTTCGCGACTCTCGAAATTGTACGTTCAACGCACATAGAAAGAACGCTGTGACGATGTTAAACCAGGGACAACGAAGTTTACATCTCTCAGAAAGGAAACTCTGTGTAAAGAAGTAAAAGAAAAAAAAGAGGATGATGGAAAGTTTTTAATGTACTTTGTACACAACCTTCCAAATGTGTGTGCAAAGTGTATATTATATATTGTATATATATATATATATCTCTCTCGCGGGGCTGAAGTTGACAAACGAATCGTTTTTTGATCGATCACGTCTTTTAAGAATGTGGAGGGAGAGAACGGAGGAAGAGGAGGAAATACGTTTCGCGAATTATTGTCGAAATATACAAGCGACGTGTAAATTGTTAAACGTACGGGAACTTCGCGCTTTCTCGCTATAAAACTTGATCGACGCGTCGAGCGATTAAAGCGAACGGCTGACGCGATCGTCAATATGCGAGCGACATTTCGCGCGACAACCAGAGCTATCGCTGCAGATTTCCCGAGCCTATGCACGTTCATTGGAAAGATAAATATTTTTTATTCGCGAAAACAATTGATCCCCACAAATATCAACACCGGGAAGACATTGACGGACGGTTCGTTAAAGAAAGTTTCTATTTATTTTCGGGATGACGAGATGTCGGAACGTATTGACACCGAGTTATCTCGAACTGATCGGCTCTTTGAAATCATTTCACTTCTCCCGTTGTTTTCTTCTCATCGTCTCCATTCATTTGCGCGAAGTAATCTCACGAACAAACGAGAAACGTAGATGAGAAAATTAAACAATATTATTACGTATTTAATAATTTTATCAAAATTAAAACAGACGCCGAAAGACACGCCGACAATGCGTCTCTCGATGCGACTCGAAGCGCATTCGCGCTGAAAACCCCAGCGCGATCTCGATCGTTATCCCAACGGCAGTTTCCACAATTGACATTTGCTTCCACGAACGAAAGAAGATATTCGGTGTAAGTTGACAAAAGATCTCCCGCGACTTCGAAACCTTCCCGGAACGGAAGCCCGGTCCCGTCTCGCGTCTAGGAAATTCAATAATACTTTGGACGTTGGAAGTGAGGAGAGAGCATGCGAGATATTCGGCTCGCATGTGGAGACTGACCCTTCATTGATTAGATCAGTCATAAAATTCCAGACGGCATCCGGTGCCTTGCGTATTGCATCCCCCTTTGTACTTTGCACAGTTGTCGAAAGAAGTCCGATCCTTCGACGATGCCCGGAATGCTTCCCGGAAAGAGCGACTCTCGGTCGGCCAATCGTGTGTCGAGCCAGACATATACACACACAAACACACACACACACACAGACGATCGGAGGAACTCTTTGTCCTCTTCTCAGGGCGATCGTCGAAAAATGTCTTGCCAATAAAGGTCATGAGAGTTCTGCGACGTTGATCGTGCGGCGAGAGCGTTACACGCGATCGCGGGATGATTGGAAAAGCGCGTTTTTATCGCGGGTCTTCATGGGTCTGCCGATATCGCGCGAGGTCGCGCGATCGCGTGTAATAACACACAAACCTTGCCGATGTGCTCTCTCGAGCGTTCCAAATTTTTTATCGCCTCGTTTACCAGAGAATTCTTTCCGTAAATTTTCAAGACCGTTCGAAATCGACCGACCGATTTTCTTCGGCCGAGAAGCTAATCTTTATTTATCCTCTTTTGAATATTTTGTCGAAAACTACTCGCACGGAAATAAATTAACATAAAAGCTCGCCGGGAGATTTCGCGAAATTTTTCAAAACGGGGGAGGAATTCCCACAACTTTTTGAATATTTCGAGGCAAAATGGAGACTCTCGCGTGACATTACGCATGCAAAATACGGGTTCTTATAAATATCGTCAACGGTGTAGTTAAATGCGGTCAGCGATATATTCTTTTATCTAGAAAAATTGAATTGAACCCCCGGGACGAGGGGTGATTCGATATCTGATTCTCTCCTTCGTCAGCGCCGAATGTCCTCCTCTCTCTCGTTTGAATAAAAGCTGCGGCGATGGACGGAGAATGGCGAACGATAAAGGATACCCCCGGAATGTATCGCGGTATCGCGATCGATCAGCGGCCGGAGCCGCACTGACAATAACCAATTAATGCCGGTCATTAAGCCTCAGTGACAGATCGCTCACGCCGAACGTTCGTGCCAGCTATCGAAATGATATCTGCGCCGTGTATGCATAATTCAACGAGCCGCAATATCGGCTGCATCGTGAAAAATGCACGTCGATCTGTCGCGCGTGGGTCGCATGAAACGCGCGACGTAGGTGGAGGGAGGAAGAGGAGGAAGAGGAAAGAGAGGACGAGAGAGCAAAGTTACTCGCTTTTTCTGTTTGGGGACTCGAAACGGTCCATCTCGATTATCCGCGAGAACGAATTGATCTCCGGAGGTATCGGCGTATATCTTAAATATTTCTAGGGGATCTCCTCGGGGATGTGTTTCTAATCCCGAAGTACATACGTTCGAGATTGGAAGATAGCGATTTTAAACCATACGGAAGAGTTCGTGTACGTAAGATACGACTTTTTCCACAAGTCTTTGCGATAAAAATATTGTAGCAATATTTCGAGAGGCCGTGTATCAAGATAATCAATAAATTTGTAAATTTATGCACATTCCAAGAGAGAGAGAGAGAGAGAGAGAGAGAGAGAGAGAGAGAGAGAGAGAGAGAGAGAGAGAAAGCAGAGAACATCTTCGTAATTACGTAACTGAGAAGGGCCTTTCTCGCTTTTCACCTTATTTAGAACCCGAGAGAGCGCCTAACAAATTTCTCACGCTTCTGACAGAAACGAAAATTACGCTCGACAGCCCGTTAAAGTCTTTCCGAATGTCTGACAGCACGAGCACGCCCGTACGCACGAAGAAACACAAGAGCGAAGAATTATCGGATATCCTGGCGGTGACAGATTCCTTAGGAGATTTAACGGTACATTAGTCTCAGGACATCCTGTATACAGAGAGAGAGAGAGAGAGAGAGAGAGAGAGAGAGAGAGAGAGAGAGAGAGAGAGAGCGATAGGGTGTGCGCCCCGGGCACCACCGAGCATATTATTCTATGTTTGCCGGTATTTGCGTCATGAATCTTCGTCGATCGAGCGCGAGAGAGGGAAACGTCGCGTCACACACGCGGCGCCGAGCCGCGCGGTACATCATAACACCCCTTCCCCACTCTTTTCGCTCTCGTTACCAGTGAAATTCGTAAGAATGTCGCACGTACGTCGCGGGAATTTATAATAATAATAATCTACGGTCGCGTACGAGGCCGCGCGAGTAGCCATTATACGTCAAATAACGAAGATTTATGTTCTTGTCGTGGCGACGATGTACCGCTCGCATAGCTTATGCCATGCAACCCGGCAACACGCACCAACTATCTAGATAACAGATATTATATATGGATCGAGCGTGGCCGGGACTTGAGATGATACATGTGTGTCGATACCTTGCTTAATCAGATACATTAATTAGCTGGCGTTAATGGAGCCAGTTGGATGCGGCCGTTCTCGTCGTCGGCCGATCGATCGATAGATCTTCGACGGGTTTCTATCGAACGTCGTATCTCGCGCGCGCGATAAACGATCTCTCATGCCGCAACGCGCGCGCGGCATTGCGATACATCGCGCGATAACGCGATGCGCAGCAGCCGTTAAATTTAAACGCTAAAGTTTACACGGCAAGTTCACACGGCTGACTGTTTGTCTTAATTAGATAGTCTCGATTTACCGCAACGCTAATGAACGTCCCCTTCG